ATCCCCTGTGCAGCATTCCACCAGTAACGGCCTGGGAAGCGCCGGGGGCCATTCTCCCGCTCATTAGCTCTCTTGGCTCCAGCTGCCCCATAAAGGTTGAAGGAACAAACAAACTGCCGGAGGGGAGGGAGAGGAAGGGCTGTAGGTGTTGGCCACACTCCGCCGCTGCCCCAGCTGAAGATGCTATTGTGTTGCAGTGATTTTCCAGGAAAATCAGGCCTGGAGATCTCCTTACTGTTCCTGGGAAGCACTTAGTGACCGGGAGGGTGTGGATTCAGGGCGGGCGCAGCCCGAAGGCTGCGGGGGTGTTTGGGGCTTTTGCCTTTCCTTTATGACAATGCTGTGAATGACACCACGAGCAGCCAGGATTGCAAAACCGCAGCTCCTGGCGTCACTGGGCGAGGCGCCGGTGCCCAGCTCCAGCACACGAGCCGTGGGACTGCCGATGGCCGGCAGCGCGGGGGCTTGGCTCCGGCTCCCGGGGCCGAACAAGGGGTGCTCCAGGGGCCGTGCCCGCGCTGCAGGCGGGGAGGGACACGGCAGCAGCTGCAGGGTTGAGCTCCTGCAGCCACCCAGCCAAACCGGGGTGGCGGTGGGGTGGCTGTGCGCGCTCCGAGCGAGACCCGCGAGCCCTGGCCAGGCCCACCGCTGCTGTTCGTTGGACTTTGCCACCGCTTTGATGGGATGCTTGCGGGCAGGGTGGCTGCGGGAAGGTCGGTGCCCAGCTCCCAGCTGCGTCCCGGCGGAGCGCTGGCGAGGCGGCAGTGCCACCAGTCCCCCAGCGCTCACCCTTTCCCGCCAGCCAGGCGCAGTGCCCCGGGCACGGGGGGCACAGGGGGCACGGGGGGCACGGGGGGCATGGGGGGCATGGGGGGCATGGGGGGCATGGCCAGGGTCGCCCACTTGCATCCCGCCCCTCGGGGCCAGGATGGTGCAGCCACCCTGGGAACAGGTGGGAGGAGCAGGGGCCGCCCCACCGAGCACCCACCCGGACCAGCCCCACTTTGTGAGCAGCCCCATGCCATCAGGAGGGAGGGTCTGTGGGTATGGGTGTGTGTCGTCCCCCCCCGCCCCCGTCAGTGCCAGGCCTCTCCAAGGCTTCTCAGGCGAATCACTTGCATCTTTCACAAAATCTGGCCTAAATAAACCACTGCCTGAGTGTCCCGTGGGTCCCTGGTCACTGCCTGCCGTCGGCGTGGCGGCATGGCAGGCTGTCTGGGGACACAAGGCTCGCCCTTCTGCGCCGCAGGGGACCCTGCTGCATCCGCCACCCCTGGAAAGCCAGTAAACGCCCCGCAGGGGCCTTGGCATCTCCCTAGCCCCCGTTTCCTCTCCCAACTCTTGTTGACACAGCAGCCGCAGCAGAACAATGCGGCAGAGAGACACCCTGTCCTTTCCTCTGGCCACCCGCTCACCTTCCCGGACACGGCCGGGGCACCGAGGGCCCTGGGCCCCGTGGCACAGCCGATGAGGTGGCGGCACCGGGGCGAAGCTGGGGCAGGCTGACCGTGCAGCGGAGCCACAGCCTGGGCAGCCTGGAGCTGCCCCGTCCCAGCAGCGCAGCACTGGGCATCCCACAGCACGGGGCCACCCCGCACCGCCTGGGTGCTGGTGGGAGCCGTCCCGCTGCGGGGAGGGATGCAGAGGTGACTCTGTGCTGGCGAGGAGCCTCCGGAGCCAGAACGGGGGCTGAGAGGGCAACAGGGGCAGCTGGAGAAGGGGCTGGTCAGTCGAGGGAGAGAGGGGGCTTTATGGTGAGTTATAGGTCAAGCTGCCGCCCTCCACCTTCCACCTGCGTCGTTGGCAAGAAGGATGGTATTAAAAAAGGGGCTCGTTCCAGCCCGTGCTTGTCAAGGCCGAGAGGTTTATAGGCCTGCGAGGAGCGGGGGGTGAGCTGGCGGTGTGGGGGGAGCGCTGCTGGGGAAGAGCCCTGGGCGCTCCCCAGGAGCTGAGGCGAGGCAGGCGGGGGGCAGCTCCCGAGGGCTGCGGGAGGGAGCGGAGCTGCGGGGCTGGGAGCCCGGCATCCCCAGCACCCCTGACACCCCCCGGCACCCCGGGCACCCCCCGGCACTCCCGGCCCGGAGCAGCCGGCGGGGATGGCAGCACCCGGGACCACCGGGGCGGCTCCGCCGGGGCTCGTCTGCCATCCAGCGGCCAAGGCCCGGCCCCGGCGCCGGCGGAGCCTCCCCACTCCGGCCCGGGGGGAGCCGAGCTGGGCGGGAGCCTGCGGAGCATCATCCCGGGGGGACCCTCCGCAGGGGCTGCCCGCGGCGGGGGAGGCACGGAGGAGGAGGAGGAGGAGGAGAAAGAGGAGGAGGAGAAAGAGGAGAAGGAGGAGGAGGAGGAGGAGGAAGAGGAGGAGGAGAAGGAGGAGGAGAGGGGGAGGAGGAGGAGAGGGGGAGGAGGAGGCAGCCCGGGCGCTGGGAGAGGAGAGCAGCAGCCCGGCGGGGCCGAGCAGGACCGGGCTGCAGCAGAACCTCCCGCCCCTGCCGTGGGGATCGGGAGCGACCTGTGCTGAGGAGGAGGAGGAAGGCTCCTCATCTCAGGGACAGGGAGCTGTGCACGTCCTTCCCTGGTACCGGCTGTGCCCCTGCCCCGAAAGGGCTTGTGCCCCACTTCAGCCCGGACAGCAGGGCTGGGGCTTGGGGTACCTGGGGGTAGGCACAGGCACCCCCAGGCACACAGGAGGGGCAGTGGGTACAGCACCAGCCGTGCCTGCTCCCAGCAGCAGGATGGGAGCCTCAACCTTCACTCCTGAACTGATACCGTGGGCTACCGTGCAGACCTCACCAGAGCCGCCCTGGACCGGGGCTGGCAGAGGGAGCAGCAGGGAGAGCTTTAAGGATCTTGACTGGGAAGGCAGGGCCCCCAGCAGCAACACTGCAGCTTGGTAAAACACAGCAGGCTCCTTTCTGCTCCCACACATTAGGAGCAGCTCAACAATTAGGACTGGCTTCTATTAATATGCAAATTTCTGCTGCTATGGCAATACTCTTATAAATGCAAATTGCAGTGGGAACCATTCTTGGAGAGACCTATGCTGGGCCCTGGACTTTGTCTGAGCAGATGCTCCTAATTGAGCCCCCCTGGAGCCTGGGGCACTGGGCAGCCTGGACAGCACGGCCAGCAGCCACTGGGACATGGGCAGCAGTTTCTGCAGCTGGCAGCATCACTGTGGTGCCTCTGCCCCTGCCCAGAGCTCAGGCAGGTTTGCACAGATGCTGACGTGCCAGCAGCAGTGGGCAGAGCGATCCAGCCTCGCTCCTCCGTGGGAATCTCCTTCCACCTGCCACCAGCGTCTGATTCCCATCTCTGCAGCAGAAGCCGTGCCCTGAGCTGCTCTGAGAAGCAGGGGTATGTGCAGCTCCCTCGGCCAGGGAGCTGCGGAGAGCTCGCCTTCCCCCCGCGGCCAGGCTGGCCCAGCCTCGCTGCGGGCTGCCCGGGGAAGCTGGGGCTGGCCCAGGGCCACCGGCGCTGCGAGCCCCAGCCCCGGCTTGCCCTGCTCGCAGGCACTGCTGAGCCACAGATCCCGACCCGAGGGGGAGGGGGATGTTTTCTGTGAGCCCGCTTGGGATGGAGCCTCCGGCAGCCCTGCACAGACTGGGCGGGCTGGGTTTGCCACCAGTTACCACCCTGCCGCCCGCCATGGCCTGGCCTCGCGCTGCAGCACCGAGGGCTGTGTCGGGGAGCACGGTGCCCACGCCTGGCCCACCCAAGGCCTGTTGTGGTGGGCAGCCAGACCCCGGGAGAGCAGGGCCATCCTGCACATGGGTCCCTTCCCAGCCGGGGCCAGGACCACGAGGCGGCAGTGCCTGAACAGCACGAACGGCCCCCGGGGCTCCCGTCACCGCCCCAGCACGGAGACCCCTCAAACCTAATGGCTTCCCACTGAATCTGGGGGTGCACACACTCAGCACCTGTGGTCCGGCTCCGCAGAGCCCTCAGGGGCTTGGCGTGGAGCTGTGGCCGTGGCAGTGAGCCACCACCACCCGCGGCAGTGGGGCGTGGGGGTGGCCCAAGCCCCTCAGCGGGACGTGAATGTCGCGGATGGGTTACAGAGGGCGCGCGGCGGCAGGCTGGGGTGCCCGGGGGTTTGGCTGCTGCGGGCTGTGAGCGGGTGTTGGTAGCAGGGCTGGGTGCTGGTGGTGCCCGGGCGCGTGACGGCAGCAGCCGTGGGACCTGGCGGGGCTGGGGAGGCTGCAGGACCTCTGTGGGCTGTGGGACTTGGGGAGGCTGTGGGGCTGCTGGAACTGGGGGGCTGTGTGACCGGGGGGGGGCTGTCAGCGCAGACCCGGGCCAAGGGGCTCCCCAGGCAGCGCCCCTCCACCAGCACACGCTGGCCCGGAGCGGGTGCGTGGAGCTGCACAGCCGTGGGAGCGGCAGCCTCCCTCCCGCGAGGAAACAGCTCCCCCCCCGCGGGGTTCTGCTCAGCACACGCAGCGTGGCGGGCGGTTAACCCACAGCCCACGTGAGCCAGACGTGGCGGGGCACAAACACCCGTGGGGGCACGACGAGCCTTCACGGCGCGCTCCGTCAGCCCCCGGGACGCGAGCAGACCCGCCGGCGGCGGGACGCGAACCGGCGGCACCGACAGCGGCAGAAGCGCCGGGGCCCGCGGCCGGGCTGAGGCGGGGACGGGGCGGGGCTGTGAGCGCCCCGCCCCCGAGAGGCTCCGCCCACGCGCGCGTGCCCATCTAAGCCCCGCCTTCAAATAGCCCCGCCCCTCCGTCGCGGAGCCCCGTCCTCTCCGCGCAGTCCCGCCCCCCTAGGCTCCCCGCCCCGCGCGCAGCCCCGCCCCTCGGCGCCTGCGCGCTGAGGCGTGGCGGAGGGGCGGGGCGCGGCGGCGGGCCCGGGCCGTGCCGCGGGATGCGGGGCGCGGGGCCGGGAGCGGGCCCGGGGCGGCGGGGTGCGGGGCCGGGGGAGCGGGCGGCCCGCGGGGCGCTGCCGCCGGCCCTGCTGCTGCTGCTGCTGCTGCTGCTGGCGGTGGTGCCGCCGCTGTGGGCGCGGGCGGCCGCCGCCGAGCCCTGCGCCGCGCCCTGCTCCTGCCGCCGCGGCCTGCTGGACTGCAGCCGGCAGCGCCTGCCCGGCGGGCCGGGCCCGCGGAGGATCCCGCCGCTGCCCGCCGGCACCACGGGGCTGTGAGTGAGCGCGGGGGGCGCGGCCGGGCCGGGCGGCGGGGGCTGTGCGAGGCCGGGCCCTGAGCGGGCCCCGGGACCGCCGCAGTGCGGCTTCGGGCGGGCCGCGGCGGCCGGTGCCGGTGTTCCCGGGTGGGTGGCCCGGGGCCGGCGCTGGGCCCCGGCTGGCGGGAGCGGCCGGCCCCGCTGCCGCCCTGGAGGACGGCCCGTGCTCCGGGCTCACCGGGCCGCGTGGTTCGGGCCGCTCTGCCGCTGTGCCGGTGACGCTTGAGAGCAGGAGGAGGCAGAAGCAGGCTGCGGGGAGCGCCGGCTGTGCCAGCGGTTCGTGTTTTTTCAGATCGGGCTGTAGGATTGTGCTTGGAAATACTCCTGCCAGCCCCTGACTTCAGCTCCGTGCAGGGGCAGTTCCTGCCGCGTCTCAGTTCTTCTGCAGCGCTTTGCCGCTTGGCAACTCGGTGGATTCCTCCTTTTCTCTCAGGAAAAACACCGTGGACTCCCCTTGGCATTTGCTGCCCGTGTTTTTTTTAAAAAAAAAAAAAAAACCAAAAAAAATCCCCCACAAAACAACCTTAGTCTCTGCCCCCAAGAGTTTAATTAGATAATGTGCTAAACAGTGTTCGCACAGGGTCGAGTGCTGGACACCTTTATCCTTCCTTGGCCGTTACTGTTCGCATTTGTCGCCTTTGGGTACAGGGTGCTTGGGTAGAAGAGGTGCTGAAGTATGAGGGGTATCAAAACCCACTTTTTTTGCACAGAGGAGTTCTCGGGCCCTCTTGGAGTGATCATGTTTCCCGATTGATAGAAATGAGGTTATTCCAGACCAAGAGGAAAAAAAAGCCTGTTTAAAAGATAGTATAAACATACAAACCCCTGTTCAGTTAACTGCAGGGTTTCCTCTAGCAGGACGCAAGAGTCTGATCTGTATTAAAAACCCAGCGTGTCTAAGGAAGCTTGTGACCTTCTTGCCCCTTTGTGGTTCTATAGTTCTCCTCTTTCCCTGCATGGTAAGCAGTTGGAAATGTTTCAGAGAAAACGTGTATTTCGGCACAGAAATACACCTAACTTGTGTGTAAAACCTTCTCTGTTTAGAAAGGCCCAAGGATATCTTAACTTAAGAGCTTGCCAGGGAGGGTGTCAGTGCCTGGAAAAGTGAGCTGGCAGTTCATCAGGCGGCTAATAAGCAAAACAATATCCATGCTGTTTGGAGAGCAAGTTTTCAAGCTTCAACAAATACTTGTATCTCTCCCCAAGCTGATAGAGGGTGTGTTTAGAACTGCTTGGCGTGAGATGCAATGGGAAGAAGCGGTGCTGGCACTCTGCTACATTATGCAATCTGACATGCTGCAAACAATAATTAACTGTATCATAGAATGATTTGGGTTGGAAGGGACCTTAAAGATCATTTAGTCTCAGCCCCGCTGCCCCGGGCAGGGCCCCTTCCCCCAGCCCAGGGGGCTCCCAGCCCCGTCCAACCTGGCCTTGAACCCTTCCAGGGAGGGGGCACCCACAGCTGCTCTGGGCACCCTGGGCCAGCACCTCACCCCCCGCACAGGGAAGAATCTCATCTACATCTCCGCTCAATCAGTTTAGAACCATCCCCCTCATCCTACCCCCACCCCCTGACCCAGAGTCCCCCCCCCCACCTTCCCTGTCCCCCCTTTAAGCCCTGGGAGGCCACTCTCAGGGTCTCCCCGGAGCCTTCTCTTCTCCAGGCTGAACCCCCCCAACTCTCTCAGCCCGGCCCCCCAGGGGAGCTGCTCCAGCCCCCCCAGCATCTCCGTGGCCTCCTCTGGCCCCGCTCGAGCAGCTCCGTGTCCTTCTGCTGTTGGGGGCCCCCGAGCTGGCCCCAGCACTGCAGGGGGGTCTCCCCAGAGCGAAGCAGAGGGGGACAATCCCCTCCCTGGCCCTGCTGCCCCCCCTGCTCTGGCTGCAGCCCAGGGTACCGGTGGCTTTCTGGGCTGTGAGTGCACATTGCTGGATCACGTTGAGCTTCTCATCAACCAACATATGCCCAAGTCCTCCACAGGGTTGCTCTCAATCTGTTCTGTGTATGTCCTCTGTTGAGGCTTTCAGGATTTTGGCACACAAAGAGTGTGTGTGGGGTTGACATTTTTTCTTTACTACTCTAGTGGTTCTGAATCTAAGTGAGCTATAATGCATACAAGCTGTTTAAAATTAATCAAAGCTTAATTTTTGTCACATGAAAAAGGCCCTGATGTGCTTTTCCCTCTTAGTTCTGTGATATCATTTCACCTAACTTTGAAGACTAAAATTTCTTGGTTTTCCAAACTCAAACTACTTGCAGGTGCTGCTTCTAGTGTGTGGGGGGGTTGGGTTTTTGATTTTAATAAGGCCAAGAGAGCACCTTCAGAACTTGTTTTCATGACTGAAGTATTCAGGCACCTGTTACTTCGTTTTTCCTGCTAAATTACATATGTTTTGTGGATAACCTGGCAAGTGATGAAAAGGGTAGGGAAGTCAAGGAATTAGCGAATATTTTTTGATATGTCTTCATCTTAACATGACACTTCGTAGAACAAGGAATGCAAGCCCTGGTTGTAGGGCAGTCATCTGCAGGAAGAAGGGGAAGGACGATGCTGGTGATCACTCCTTCTAGTGCCTGAAAATGAGTTTATATATCCTCTTAACCAGGGAGACAATGAGTAAAAGTAGATTGGGTATCAGCTAATTAGCTCATCAAGTTCCATTCATGAGGTTTTTCGGGTGAGTTTATGTATTTTCGACTCAAATGGCTGCCTGTGTTGCTGTGTCAACACCTGTACCAGCACCATGCCATGGGGAGGAAGAGGGTACGCTCAGCTGGACTGAATTAAGATAATTTTCCAGGACTAAGTATACAGTAATCAGTTTGGTGTGTGTGTTCTGTTTTATTTACTTGAGATGAATACCACTTCAGCTCAAAATGAATGTTTAAGTGATTTTATATACAGTACCAGATGAATCTCTAAAATACAAATTTTGCATGTTTGCTCTGTATCTTGCATAATATGGGCCTCACAGTAAAAACGCAAGTTTCTTCTAAAATGACAGGTTCTTCTGTTTTGCCTTTTTCAGAGCAAAGGAATTATATCTGGTTCTGCATAATAGCAGAAATCCTAGCTGTGTGATTGAATGATCCATAAACACAGAAAATCAGACAATGTATTTCACTTTGTATTTAGTGATCAGTCTATATAAAAAGGTATCAGTAACAGTAACTAGATAAAAATACTGCCAGAACTGTTTTAAGTGTGAACTATACCCAGCTTCTTGAAAGGGAACTTCCTGTTAATGAAAACTTTGTTGTAGTCTAAATCTGAGTAATAATACCGAAATACTTTCCTGAACTTTCTAAATTAAAGTCTTAATTTCTAATTTAGCAGTAAGACAGTAGGCTTCTGAGAGGAGGATACCTGAATGTTCGCAGGTCCTCATCACCCAGGCCCCATGCCTGCCAGTGTTTAAGAGGCATTTGGACAATGCCCTTAATAACGTGCTGTAACTTTTGGTCAGCCCTGAAGCGGTCAGGCAGTTGGACTAGATGATTATGGTAGGTCCCTTACAACTGAAATTTTCTATTCTATGATATTCTTCCTGAAAGCCTTAGAAAAATCAAGTTTCTGTTTTCTTTGCATATTAATCTGGTTCCCGAGGTCTTTGTCAGTGCCCGCTAACCATGCCTGACACACAGGTTGGTCTGCCTCAGCACCCCCGGCCCGGTTTTGCTCACGGCTGTAGTATCTGGACACCTTGAAGAGCGTGCTGTTATCTTCTGCATCCGCCGTCTCGGCCTTCCGCCGTGGGTTGCACTCAGGTCCTTTGGAAATAGTGTGGCTTAGTACTCCTCAGTCTGGTTAACCCCACTGCTGACCGAGATTGGTCTCCTCAGCGCTGGCGGGGTGCCTGCACGTTTGGAAGATCCGGCAGAGTCTTCCCCTGGGATTCGGGGCCGGCGCTGGCACTGGCTGCCCCCTCCGGTGTGACCGATGGCTCCCAGGGCTGAGCCGGGCTCCAGCCGCCGTGGGCAGGGTGGGTGCCGGCAGCCCGAGAGCCTCCCGTGACGTGGGAAGGCTGCTCCAGGAGCAGCTCACACTCGCTCGGGTTTATGCGTTACTGCTGTGTGGGATTGGCTCGGTGACTACGTACGTTGAGGGAGCAGGCCTGCAGAGCAGCCTTCCGTGGCTGCATGTGCGTTGTTTTCTTCTCCAGGTTCTCTTGAGTCTTTTTTTTAACTGTAAGAATGAATAATTGCTTGCAAACCTGTTTGCTGCTCTATCTGTATAATTTACATCTTGATGTAATTAAAAGAATACATTAACAACTGTCTGACTTGCCATGACACCCAGGATTTTAATAATTCATTGCTAGAACGGTATCTTTATTGCTGAGCCTGAGTGGAAGTTAACAACAAATAGTCTGTCAAGTCCTTGCTCTCTCCCAGTAGATTCTGGTCTTACAGATCAAAAGTATATCGGTGGTGCCATGAGCACTGGGGTGAATAAAACTGGGTCCTGCTCAGGTTGTCTTCTGGTTAGCGGCAAGTCTCCCCTGCATGGAGGGTTCTTGTGGCACCGTTAACACGCACCGACGGACACTTCCTGGTGCTCGGCGAGGGTTAGATTTGTGCTGCAGCCCCTTCTTCAGCAGGAGCACCGGTACAATTTCTTTCACGGATTTGGGGCAGCTTCGTGCCTGCACAGCTTTGCCCCTTGCTGTGGTTGAAGTCGATCACGGGCCCAAAGCTATTGCAAGAGCAGACGAGCGCGTGGGTGCTGTGACTGCCCGGGCCTCGTTGTCACCGGAAATATTTTTAACTGTGATCAATTGATATTTTAATACTCTTGACATTTCAATATTAATTGACATTTTAGTACTCTTTTGAACAGATACATGGTAGTTTTGTTCTTAAAGGATAATTTTATCTCCTGTGTCAGTGTAGCTGCAGCCTGCCGGATAATCTTAAAACTGGCTGTAATAAATATGTACTGTTACTTCTGTAATCATGAAAGAGAATCAGTGTCATAGGACCTTATCGGGGGAACTCATCAGGAGGTGAACAGCTTTTGCTGAAAATAGCTCATAATATCTATATCCTTGAGGTCAGAACTGGAAATGGAGTGAGAAGCATGATGCCTCGCTGACAGGCAGGCACAACTAGCTAGCAGAGAATGACTTTTTGATTTAATGGTCAGTGTCCAGTTATATATGCACCTATCAACAGTTTTCTGAGCGTGCCGGGGGCATCGGCCGTGTTTCAGGAGCTCGGTGGCGGTGCCTGTTCAACACACAATGGCTCAGGCTGTTGGCAACAACTTAGGGGTTCATCTCCGTTCCGGGCTTGTCCCAGAAAGGCATCCAAGGGCTGAGTTGCTCTCACTGTTTGGTGGGACGTCTGTCTGTCCTCACTGGTATGGCTAGAACCAGGTTTCCATAACAGACCTGATTTTTTTGATTATGCTTTGACTCATGGCACAAAATAGAGGTAATCTGTGCCCAAAGAGTTAGCTTTCAGAAGTGGGCCTTTTTTTTAAATTTTTTTTTCCTGTAACATTTCATGCACAAAGTCAAAGGCAAAAGTGAAATACTGCTTTAAAGTTAAAGCAATGGGAATAGCATCAGCATCCAGTATGGGCATTAAAACCAGATTTAACGACTCTTTTGCTCATTGAAACAATTCATCTCCTCCATTTGTTTCCTATAAGCAAAACCAACTGGCACTAAAGCATGCCTTCTCTAAGCTTCCCAGCCTCATGTTTCTCTCCCCTCCAGCTTGTTTGGTAATTGTGTGTATGTTGTTCCTTTAGCATAAGCCTGCCTTGACTAGTCAGCGTCTTTGAAAAGCAGAGCAGGCTGAGAAAATGAGGGTTGTTGATACAGAAAACAGTTCAGTAACTGGCATTTTGTAAGAAATTCTTTTCGTGTCCCTGGAAAGTTTTTCTTTTTGGTGATAGGCAAGTATTGTCTGTAAAACTATGATTTAGAGGAAATACCTGACCAGAGCATTCTGACCTTTCTTTCAAGAAGCTTTTTTATCAAAGTTATTTGATTCAAACAGAGAAATAGAACTGTCTGGATTTTTATTGTGAGTGACCACTAGAACAAGCTAGGAGGAATCTCTGCTTCCTTTGGTGAAGGAGGAATTGTATGTATCATAAATATGGTTTAAAATGTTTAAGTTGCATAAAGCATACATGTGGGTTTTTTATTCCAAGAGCTAGAATAACTTTTCTCTCTGTTCTCTAGGGATTTAAGTCATAATCATTTATTGTCATCCAACTGGAGCATTGATTTGTCTGTTCACACACTACAAGAAGTGTAAGTTGTTTTTTATGAGGATTAACTCTAAAGATATCCTACCTGATTGTAATTAGTACATATTTCATTGCATGTCTAGATATCTGGTCTGACGATAGAAATATTCAGTGCCAGTTAATTAAAAGTGGACTCTCTGTTGGCAGCATGCTTTAGGTATAAAAGTGGTGCTTTGTGAGCAGAAAACTTTGTCATAAAAGACAACCAGTATTTTTAAAAAGAAATATGATGTGTTATGACTGTAGCTGATTCTAAGTTAAGGGGAAGTAATAGTATCTGTGAAAATGGTAAAAACTGGCATGCTTCGCTATTAAATTGTTTGAATTTAGTATTTAAGCTTTTAGGGAATCTTTTTTGTAAGCTAGGAAGTATTATTAACATAACAAAATTGTTAAATGTGTTCTGTGATATGAGTTACTTCTGTTGGATACAGAAGGGTTTTTCTACTCTTTGAAGTGCCAATAATATTTTCTGGGTTTTGCTTTTTTTTTTTTTTTTTTTTTTTTAGGAAAATGAATTACAATGAGCTAAGTGAAATTCCATATTTTGGAGAAACAACCTCTAATATAACTCTTCTCTCATTGTAAGTAATAGCTTGTCTGCCTTTTTCTTGTTTAATACATGGCAGAATTATATTGGAGTTCTGCTATCAAGTTGTAGGAAAACATCGCTTCTTTTGTCTCGAAAAGCTACTCATCTAAACTGCTTTAGGGACTATGTAAGCACTCTTTAAAGAAATACAAATCAGTTAGACTATCAAGTCACCCTAAATTACCAATAAAATGCAGTCAACCAAGGCGGGCAGCTTTGAAGGGGAGGGATTCAGTCTAGGAATGACAGTTCCCACAAGGAACAGCCCGACTACAGGCCCCAGAATTTGAATCTATTCATATGTCAAGGTGGCAAATAGCTCTTGGATTTTCAGTATTGCTTTAGGAATTAACACTTGGAAGTGTGTGGTATGTGTCCCATTTAAGAGTCTTGCTAATGAAGTTGATAGACAGAATCCTATAGCTGTTTCAGCTGTGCAACTTGAAGGATGGGATGTTTTGATAATCATATTTGTTGCTGGTATTTTTCAGGGTACACAATACCATTCCAGAAATAAATGCTGAGCAGCTCCAAGTTTACCTTTCATTGGAAAATCTAGATCTTAGTTCTAATCTTATCTCGGAAATTAAAGCTTCTTCTTTTCCACGGATGCAACTGAAGTACCTGTAAGTATGAGTGATCTGTTATGTCTGGGATTCCTGGCTCTACGGCAATAATGTTGAAGACCTCATTTACTCTAAGTTGCTGTCTTAAAGTAGGCACTATTGCATGGTTTTGAACTGGTAGCAGTGCTTAACATAGCTACAAATGTGCTTTAAATAAAACACTTTTCATACCAATCTGTATTGCATTTTCTCAAATAGTGTGGCAAACAGTAGCTGCTGTTGTCAAAGTGCAGGTGCTTCAGCCAGCAGGGACACAGAATGACTTCTGCCCGTTTTGAGTAGATCACTGTTGACATTGTCTTAACCATGTCTAGCTGAAGCATGGACATGCAGTAAAAATCAGCTCCTAGCACCTATTCCTTTGGGGAAAAAAGGTTTAGTTTAGTATACCAGAATTCAGATTTGTGATGTGACTTCACAAGGAACTTGAGTTCTAATAATAAGTGGTTGCTCCGAAGTGCTTGTGCAGTTGTGTTTTTAAAATTCTTCATGTTCTGAAAGGCCTCTCTTCCTTTCCTAGGAATCTGAGTAACAACAGAATAACTACTCTAGAAGCAGGCTGTCTTGATAACTTATCTAGCTCACTAATGGTGGTAAAGCTGAACAGAAATAGGATTAGTGTGATTCCACCAAAGATCTTCAAATTGCCTCACGTGCAGTTTCTGTAAGTAACAGTTTTAAAAGCTTAAAAACATGGTGTTTACAGCTGTGTTGTTCATCTCAGTATGTGTTCTTGACATTCACAAAGTGGTGCTTATCAAAAGATGTCTTAATATTTGAATGTCATCTTTATAAAAGGGAACTGAAAAGGAACCGGATTAAAATAGTGGAAAGTCTTACATTCCAAGGACTGGAATCCTTAAAATCCTTGAAAATGCAGCGCAATGGGATTAGCAGACTAATGGATGGAGCATTCTTTGGCCTGGGTAATATAGAAGAATTGTGAGTATGCCTAGTCATGGAATTTCTTTTAGGGACCCTAGCTGTGGAGGGTTGTGTCCTGTATGGCTTTGCTTACATCGAGGCTGTGCTGTGCTCATCAGCATATGAACATCAAGGGAAATGAGTTTAGAGATCTGTATCTTCCCACTATCTTGGTATTTCAGAGGTGGAAAGGTATTGGCTCTCTCCCCAACTTCTTCCTACTTGGTGATCAGACTCTGTAGGTTGCTTTTTGCTGGTTGCCTTTTGCACTCCCCCTAACATGGGATGCTGCTTTGCCGTGTGACTGTTCGACAGAGATGGCGCAAGGGTGTGCCATGCAGTGTTAGCAAAAGATTTTTTAAAAAGTAGTAATCTTTGAGAACAGAGATTACAGCTTTGCTTCTGCCTCTGAATCACACTGCAGCTGTTGTCGACTTAATCCGTTCTTCATGTACTTCAGTTCACTCTTCTGGTTGTAATGGAATTAATATGGTCATGCATTTCAGGTTGCCTGAGGCTTAATGTTAGTAAATAATTTTGAGATCCACAAGGTGAAATTTTGTAAATATATGTTCCATTGATTATCTGTTTGGCAAATGTTTTTCCTTTTCATCCCTTAGAGAACTGGAACATAATAACTTAACAGAAGTAAACAAGGGCTGGCTGTATGGTCTGCGGACATTGCAACAACTCTATGTTAGCCAGAATGCCATTAACAGGATCAGTCCAGATGCGTGGGAGTTCTGCCAGAGACTTTCTGAGCTGTAAGTCCTGGTCTGCTTTTCATTGGGGATTTTGTAATGTTGCAATAACAGATTGGATAGCACGTATGTAGCAAGAATGAATTACCAAAGGAAGTACTCAGTTTCCTTGTTATGCCCATGGTAATGCTGTGTATTTTAGTTACAAGTGTTAGAGAAATTAATTAAAATGCAATAGTTAATCAAGTTTGATAGTATCTTCATAATTAATCCCCCCCTACTTGCCTTTAAAGTGCATGTTCAATGTTTCTAGAGACTTGTCATATAACCAGCTAACTCGCCTCAAGGAGTCTGCCTTTGTGGGACTTGGTTTATTGGAGAAGCTAAACCTGGGTGACAATCGCATTAGTCACATTGCTGATGGAGTGTTCAGAGGTCTGACAAATCTTCGAACCTTGTAAGTACAGAAAACGTCTAGTTCAAATCTGTTCAATGCAGTGAAGCTTTTGAAAATAAAGGCAGCAATCATTGCCCTGTGCAAGCCTGAGATCGGAATTCTTGTGTGCTGTCCTGCCTGCAGGTGTGGCAGGGCTGATAATCTTTTGGTCTGCCGAGATAACAGGATTCTGGCCCAGCTAAAACAAACCAACCTCTTAATTTTAGTGGTGATAGGCAACAGTGGCTTGGTGACCGTGAGTGCCCAGTTGCCTGTCATACTGGTTCTGAGGAGATGTGGGTGGTCAGCTCGTGTAAGTGGCAGCTGTAGAGCGAATGGTCAGCCTGGATGTCTCTTTATTCCAGAGGGTTTTGTTAGGGTTGGAACCTCAAAAACCAAGCGGTGAGCCCCTTTGGTTGCAGAAGGTGGGGTTTAGCCCACCCTGCTTGTGTGGTAGGCGTAGCGTGTAGGAGGGGTGTAGGGTTACTTCTTGCTGTCAGAGGCATGGCTCTGCACTTGCCAGGACCTTTGGTAGCAGCTGCAGCTGTTTGATATTTCTGACAAGAAAAGACTCAGTCCTGGCTTTTAATAACAAAAAAAAAAAAAAGTGTCCCAAGAAGATCTGAACAGTTGCAATCATCCCAAACAATGGTAGTTGAGAAAGGAGTGAAAGTTTATAACCCCTCTGTCAGCTCATTAAATAAATGCTTAAATAAGCAAACTCACCAGAGAGATTTATGTAAGCAGTCATATTCTGTTAACCTTAATGCAACCTTTTAATGAAATAATTAAAACTAATTTCTTAGATTTAGAGTAGCATGAAAAAGAACAAGAGCAGATTAATTAGTAGGTTTTCCTGGGCTCCTCAGGGCTGTCAGCAGCCGAGGGGCTGGCCATTTGCTTGGGGGTTGGAATGTGCAGGGCTGAGGGCAGTGGTGATTAACAAGGCTCCAAGCATTCGTGCCCAGCCAAGCATGAGGAGCCAACTCTGCGGCTCACACAATGAGGGGCTTTTCTTTTGGGTTGCTCGCTCATTTTGCTAAGTGGTCAGAGTAGTGGAGTGTAAAAATACTTCAAACAACAGGAGATACTTGTTGCTGTTGGATTAGTTCCATTGTTGTTTGTATACCAGTTGTTTCAGTGCTAAGGCTGATGTAAGTATTTCCCTGTATGTTCAGCTCCTGCCGCTATTCTGCAGTGTAGCTTTAATTAAGAAGAATAAACTGTAAAACTGTATATTAACTACAAGGTAATAAGAGCAAGGTAGGATTAAAGGTTTATCTAAGAATAACACTGAAGTTTTACATCTTGCCACATTATTTACTTTACTGTGAGTAGCTTGGCATTGAAACTCCTCCAGCATTCACGGTCTAAAACTGAAGCAGACCCGGAGATAGTTCTAGAAACAAATTTCAAATCACAGGAATTAACAACTTGGAAATAAATTTTGCATATTATTCATCTAGTCATTATTCATTAGATCACATCCATGTTCAAGCTAAAATTATTTAGCTTGAATAATTTTCATAGAGGAGAATACTTAATGTGAGCAAGTATCAAGGCCATATTTATCAAAACCTCGTGATGCATGAAGCAAGGAATTATTTTCTTTGTCCTAAACTTTAAAGCCTATATATATTAACTGTGGAAATGACTGCTGTATAGTGTTAAGAACAAGATTTCCATATTTCAAAGTAAGAAAAATAAGAAAATAATATGTTACCACTGACAATGTCCTGGAGGTTGATCCCAGTCTCTTCCAGGATGGTATTCTACACAGTTTACAGTTTCACCCAAGGGAAAGCAGATGCTTCATTTTCCCACCATTAGCACAAGGAAAGAAGTGTTTATGTGAGATGACGTATGCAACTGCCTATACAGGTAGCTAGCGTTCTCTGTCAGTTGACTTGTTTGGAAGTTCCATCAAACTGATGCGTGTAATATCTGGTAGAATGCAGTACAGGCTATTTTTCATGGGTGTAGTTTCCTTTAAACACACTCCTGTCTGCAGGGGCTTCTGTGCACAGTGGTATCAAAACAGATGAAAACTGTGGCTTTGGAAACTCTTGGCTCAGTTCATGCCATTCAGGCTAAAAATACAGCTGAATTTGTTTCTCCTTTTCTCTAAAAAGCATTTAACCCTCTCCAAACCCTATCACTACATTGCATTTGCTGTTTGGACCACTCTTCTACATGAGGGGCCGAAGTGCTGTGCAGAGGTCAAACAGAAATCCCATTAGCTGGTAACGAGATTTGTGAGCAAAACATCAATTTCATTCTGAAAATCTACTACTTTGTGCCTGGCAGCCTTACACTGTAACCTGTGTGTAATCTCTTAATATGCTAATGCTATTATAATCCTGTTACTCAGGAAGATTAATGCTGCTAGTGTATTGGTTAATTCACTTACATGAACCAGCTTGCTTCAGGAGCCTCTCCCAGTTTCTGGTAAATAGTCCATCACATGACAAGTGCTAGTCAGACTGGGTCTTTCCTTAAATACCACATCAAGAAGTTGTACTGTGGAATTTGTTTGTGGTTCTGTCTGCGGCACTGATCTTGAATAATTCTGTTTTCCCTTGCATCTCTGAAATGGGATATTCATCTTCTGACAAGCTTATTTTGTATAAGGTTAGTGACCTCCAGGTGACACGGTGCCAGGACACCGTAGCTGGCCTGTACAACAGTAAGTTCTCTTCCCTAGCTCGCCACTAGCAGTGGTCATAATGAGGTTACAAGGCTGCTTTATAACAAAGCTCTTTTCCTGCAGGGACTTGCGGAACAATGAGATCTCCTGGGCCATAGAAGATGCAAATGAAGCATTTGTGGGACTCAGCAGGCTGGATAGGCTGTATGTATTACAAACCATTGAAATGGTGGTACTCCCCAGGCATGCGGAGTAAAGGGAGAGTGCAAAATATTAAGTAACTGTAAATCAATGACACGAGACAGAAAGCCTTTCTTGTTGGCAGCTGGATCCAGTGTGTTCCCACTTGCGTGCTACAGCCTCTTGATACAGGCTTGGGTTCCATGTTCAGGAGCATTGGATCTGTGTAGCACTGGATCACCTTGCAGCACCAATTTGAAGAAATTAAGCATAAGTATTTGACTGCCTTTATTATTGACTAGCCCAGTCCTGCTCTGTGATGTCACTTCTACCGCTTCTTTACTTTGGGTAAAAGTTACCACTTATTAAAAAAACAAACAAATAAGGAAAACCCACCGAAGTATTTTTGAACAAATATGAAACACTACTGAATTAACAGTTTTTCCATACTTAGACTATGCACTTTTCATCCAGTGCCTGTGCTTTGTAAGAAGCTCCATCCTGTGGAGCTGCAGACATGGCTTATAACAAACAGCTTAGTACGAGGGTGCAGTCTCGGGAACTAATGTGATTGTGGCAGATTGTTACTAGGAAGTTACTGCTCCACTCCCAAGTTCCACTTACCACTGTTTCACTCTGCTGACTTACTTTATCTTCTGACACATCTCTAACCCAAATCTCCAAGTTAAGAATGGAAAAGAAACCCTGTTCTTGGGAAAATTATTTGAGCCTTTAAGCTCAAAGTAATATTTGATCTTTTAGCTCAGCTAGAATTAGAAAAAAATTAGTTAAACGTCATAGGGAACTTCTTTTTGGTCTTACTTGTGAGCTCATATTGACATTTAGATGGGTTTCTGGGGGGGCTTTGTTTTTCAGAATCTTGCAAGGAAACCAGATTAAGTCAATTACCAAAAAAGCGTTTTCTGGTCTTGAAGGACTTGAGCATCTGTAAGTACTTTACTTTGTAGAACTTCTAATTATTTGTCAACTTCACCCTTGTATTCTCTGTCAAATTTTCAAGAATTTAACTGAAGGTAGCATATGAAATCATACTTACCTGTTATTGTTCTCTTCGCTTAACTCACAGAGATTTAAGCAACAATGCAGTAATGTCCATCCAAGAAAATGCATTTGCCCAGGCTCACCTGAAGGAGCTGTAAGTTCGTGACAATTATTTACAGATTCTTTACAAGTCCTACGTTGTAAAGAATCCATCTGTTGTTGTAGGGTTGACTGAAGTGTGTCTGCTTTCATCGTGGAATATTTAAAGCAGATCTGGTAAATTATCAACTTAAAGTCAGTAGCAGTATACTTAGATTTAAGGTTTGATGAAATCTGCACATCCATTTCCTTAGTTGCAATTATGAGAAAATAATTTTTTCTTGCAATGCTGAACCATTAGGTTTTTCATATCTTATGATTTTGCATCAAGTTCAGCACGTGCTAGCGTGTAGATAGTGAACAAAAGAAATAATTCATTAGAAATCTGTCAGGTGGGTTTGCTAACCCTACATTTCGTCTTCCCATTTTTGGGACTAGGGAAAGGCTTTAAAAGTCACGGCTAGTCAAGAATTTTTACTTGCTCAGCAGATGCTTAAGATGCTAGAGCCTCTTGTGATCTTCAGACATTTAAAATATTATAATGTGAAGTGACCTTCACACTCAAGACTAACCCTACTGTAACGCAGTCATCTTTATCTAAAGTCACTGAATATCGTGTAATCTGTTTTAAAACTGTTACTCAATTAGTTAATCTTGGCCAGATGGAGTTAGTCTGCAGGATTTGCCAGTTTGAGGAGACATGTCTTAGGTGTTAAGACTTTCATTGCCTTCTCTGCTGTATCTTAGAACTGAGGAATTGTTGGTATGTATGGGCAAACAGCAGGACGGAATCCTGGCTTGTTTGCGTGCCTCTCCTCTCACCACTGGACTCCTCAAGTGGCAGATCGCTTGTTGAAATACTGGGCTTTCTCCAGTCACTCATACTCATACATAACATTTAGGAAGCCTTGAAAGCAGGTGGTGGGGAAAAAGTGACCTGTTATTGCTTCCTGTTTGCAGTTTTTCTGTGGAGCAGAAAAAACAATTGGCAGTAGATACCTGTATGAAACAAATCACTTCAATTCTTAAATATTTATTAGCTGGCCTGAAAATGAGTATTGAAGCTTATACTCATTTCATAATAGCAAATGTGTTTAGTTTGAGACATAGAGCTGCTCTTCAGCCTTATGTTCCTTTTAATTGCTTTAAAGATGGGTGGGATAATTGTGAAGACAGGCTTAATACATTTTTTTAGAAGTTGAAAATCAGAGGTTATTTTCTTCAGAATTAAAAAGAAATATAAGGTTTTAATGCTGATGTAGAGGGAAGGATTTTCTGGATTGTTTACAGCATATATAACTAACATTTTATAATAAATACCCATAGGCATAGAAGAAAACTGTAAGTATTGACATTTCTGAATGTATAAGCTTTAAATTGTTTAGCTGCATGAAATCACGTGTAGGAATGTGAAATACATAAGCTTTAATCACACTTATTCTGCCTTGTTTCTGCAGCATTTTGAACACTAGCAGCTTGCTCTGTGATTGCCAGCTGAAGTGGCTGCCGCAGTGGCTCACTGACAGCCGCTTACAGCAGGCTGTGAACGTTAGCTGTGCTCATCCCGAATGGTTAGCAGGACAAAGCCTTCTCAGTGTGGACCCTGGTGACTTTGTCTGTGGTTTGTATTTTTAATGACTTTTGATATAAACACATGGCAATGCAAATCTGTGCAGGTACTTTTCTGAAATCAGGCTGTGGCACTGCTGGAGGTACTTGGGCTTGGCCATGACGTGCTTGTGGGCCTGTGTATGTCTGTTTTGGAGTTTGGGATTTAATTCTGTGTCTCTTTGCTCTGTTTTGTTGTATTTGAGCACTGAAGATAACCCAAGGGAGTGATTTGGTGAGACTGCATTGTTTTTCATTTAGGTTACTGTTAAAAACTGATTATGCTTCCATTCTCCCTGCCTGTGAATGCCTTTGGCTTTGGGAGGGCTGTTTGACACTTCCTTGTTGGTTCTTGTCCATACCAGCAAGGCTAGAGTAGTTAACACACTGGCACATTTTTCTGATGCTCCGTATCTGTAATGTTTATCTGGTCTCTGCCACCACAGTTTCAGACATAAGCCTGCTTTATTTTTGTAACTGAACTGTGAGATGGAAGACTGAGAGACTCTTTGCCCAGTCATGTGTGAAGCCTGTGGCAGATCTGGAAATAGTCTGGTGTTCTGTTTTCTGGGTGAGCAATCTGATAAGTGTTACCTGTGGGTACGCAGTTCTTTCATTCTCTTGGTGGTGAAGGCCACAATAATCATCATGTAGGTGCAAGCACCTACCACTCAATTCTAATATCATCACAGTGGTGCCTGACACTGAACGCAGCGTGTGCCTACGAGAATGTCTTTGCTGAAATAATAGGTATTGAAATAACCTCTCATCGAGTGGGATGAGAGAGAGTGAACTGCCAGCTTGCTGTGCTTTGTATTTATAGAACTTAAAGGCTTTTCAGGATATTTAAACTATCTGAAAATAAGTCTCAGTCCTCTGTAAAATAGCCTAGCTCTTCAGCTGACTGTGGCTTTTGTGTGTGATCTAAATATAGCAAGTTCCAGACAGTTGTACAAAATGCAGGGCACTGCTCAAGACCATGCTTCCACGCTGATTGTTTTCAGTGCTTATTCTCTATTGCCTACCTGTGGTTCTAATCCTCTTTCACAGCTTGATTTCCAACTGAAAACAGCTGAATATCTGCACCTCAGGCAGGACATCTGTTTCCAAAGCTTGCTTTTTGCTTACGTTGTCTTTTGAGTGAATTTTCTTACAATATTAATTGCAAGTTGAAGAGGAAAGTAACTAATTGTGGTGCTTTCATTTTCAGATAACTTCCCTAAACCGCAGATAAGAGTGCATCCCGAGACCACAGTTGCTCTGCGAGGCATGAATGTGACTCTGACTTGCACTGCTGTGAGCAGCAGTGATTCACCCATGTCCACTGCCTGGCGTAAAGACAGTGAAGTACTGTATGATGCAGAGGTTGAAAATTTTGCCAGATATCAGCAGCAAAGTGGTGAGGTGGTTGAGTATACCACTGTCCTGCACCTTTCCAATGTGAATTTCACCGATGAAGGGAAGTATCAGTGCATTGTCACCAATCACTTTGGCTCCAATTATTCCAACAAAGCCAAGCTGACAGTCAATGGTGAGCAATAATGGCAACAAAGGAGAAACGCTTTTAACCTAATGCTTTATTTAAATAGCTACAAGTCTACTTTTTCACTAGAGCTGGCCCAAAATAGTCTTGCAAGACTGTCTCACTGGTATTTAGAGGTATCAATTATCTTTTTATAAAGCAGGAAGGACACTTCTTTGCAGGTGAAAAGCCTTCTGTTCACTTCTTGAAAGGGGCACATATCTCCCATGCTTTCATTATAGCACAGTTGGTCATCTAGTTAAGTGGAGGTAGAAGTCTCTTAAACTAAAAGCTCCCTCTGCTGTCTCTTCGGAACTAAGCACCTTTCCCCTGTTTGTAAAGCTAGGGAAGATTCAACTAAAAATAACTGTTGGGACTGGAAACAAATGGAAAATCAATTATGAAGTCCTCTGTTTTTAGCCATAATGATTCCATTTATTTATTTTACTGGCATCAGTCAGTAGATCACTGATCCCCATTGTATCTGAGAGCAGAGGTGCTTGTGTCACTTTTGCTAGTCCGGAGCAGATAATGCAGACTTGGACTGGCAAAATGGAAGTTCCTATTACCAGGGAAGAAAAAGAGTGACAGAGAGCTTATGAAGAAGGCTAAACCTTTTCCCTGTATTTTCCCCATGAGAAATGTTGTCCTTCAGATAATCTTAAATGAACACTGTAGATACTGTATTTAAATTTGCAGGATAGACTCTTAGAAATGACCACGGAAAATTTGTGCAGTTCTTCAGAAGAATCTGCCCCTCTCTGCTAGGGAGAAGTATGGCTGTGTTTCAGATGTGTTTGTTTTCAGATGTTCTCTGTGCTGTGGAGCTCTTGCTCTTTTTCCCCTGAGACTGAAAATACTGAAACGTGTCTCCTTTGATCCAGAGCTACCTTCTTTCCTGAAAACCCCCATGGATCTCACCATCCGCACCGGGGCCATGGCCCGGCTGGAGTGTGCTGCAGAGGGCCACCCGACTCCACAGATCTCCTGGCAGAAAGATGGTGGCACAGACTTCCCCGCTGCAAGAGAGAGGAGGATGCATGTCATGCCTGAGGATGATGTGTTCTTCATTGCAAATGTAAAAATAGAAGACATGGGCATCTATAGCTGCATGGCACAAAACCCTGCGGGTGGTTTGTCAGCAAACGCCACGCTGACTGTGTTAGGTAAGTGGTGTGCTAATCTGTGCTTGCAGATGGATCCCTTCACTTCCGCAGCGGTAGTGTAGCTTATGTGTAAGGAGCAAGCTAAGTCCTAAAGAATGAAGTTGGAATACGAAGAGCAGCACTTGAGGTGATTTTTGAACAGTGAAGCTTTAGAAGCTAAGCTACAGTGCGGACCGGTGAAGTTGGTATGATCTCTGCAGGAGAGAACAGAGGGGCAGTGTAGACTAGAAGGGTTATTTGTGTTGCCTTCGAGCAAATCTAGTCACAGGTAACGTGAACTATGCTGAGTGATAATGGAAGGACAGTTCCTTCTAGAGTGCAGTATTTTTTGAAGACACTGACTTTTAACATTATGGTCATATGCAAATTTAGAATTGGAATACATAAAGTAGACTGTGGCTACTGTGATTTTGGGGGATGCTTGCTGTACCTGCGTTTGCTGCAGTGCTCCAGGGAAGAGCTGAACTCAGGCTTTCCCAAATCCTGTGTTTCATTGCTCAGGTTTAAGTTCGGGTTGTAAGATCAGATTTTTAAAAATCACATAGTGCACACTGGTGTTGCACAATTGAGTTACCTTACATTTTATCTTTTTTTTTTTTTTCCTCTGCTGTCACAGAAACTCCTTCCTTCGTTAGGCCCCTGGAAGACAGAACGGTAACCCGAGGTGAAACTGCTGTCTTGCAGTGCATAGCTGGTGGCAGTCCTGCCCCTCGCCTCAACTGGACAAAAGACGATGGCCCTCTCACAGTGACAGAACGGCATTTTTTTGCTGCGGCAAATCAACTCCTTATCATTGTGGATGCTGGACTAGAGGATGCTGGGAAGTACACGTGCATTATGTCCAACACACTGGGCACTGAGCGTGGCCATATTTACCTAAACGTCCTGGCGTCCCCAAACTGTGATTCTTCCCAGGGTGGCATCGTCCACGAAGAGGACGGCTGGACAACAGTCGGCATTGTGATCATTGTCGTGGTGTGCTGCGTCGTGGGAACGTCCCTGGTGTGGGTTATTGTGATCTACCACATGAGAAGGAAGAGTGAAGATTACAGCATCACGAACACAGGTAAAGTGCAAAAGCAAGAGTTCTCGGCCCTGTTTTTAATCTAAAACACTTGCATGGTGAAATTTCTGGATTCATTAGAGATGGATAAGGTTGAAGAATTGAAGCTTGACTTCTAAAATCTCCTCCGGGATTTGTTCAAATTCCTTCATTTAAAAAGTTTTTTTTTTTTTTTAACTACCAAAAGCATGTTAATTTTATTCCTTATACACTAGATTTATGTATTCCATAGTGAGGGAAAACAGTAAAGGGAAATAAATATTTTAGTAAACTTACAAATATTTTCAGGCCCTGGAATAATATGCATAAGTTCCCGTTCTGGCCCTGTTAGTTTTGAACTGGCTATGTGGATTTGTAATCACTGGTGCAGAAAAAAGGTAATTACATCTGAGTTGACATTCTGGATGACATTTTTGTTGATGTGGGTAACACTGTTGGTACCACCTTGATATCCTCACGCTTAGCTGTTAATGTCACTGATGTTAATTCTGCCTTGCAGAGGAGATGAACCTGCCTGCAGACATTCCCAGCTATCTGTCCTCCCAAGGAACTCTGTCAGAGCCTCAGGAAGGCTACAGTAACTCGGAGGCGGGAAGCCACCAGCAGCTCATGCCTCCAGCTGGTGGCTACGTGCACAAAGGCACAGATGGTAAGCAGAGCCCTCCCGCGTGGTGCTGGTGTTTCAGCAGGGTGCCAGTGCACAGCCTGGTCCTCAGAGCTGGCAGCGCTACTGCAGTGCCGCGGGTTAACGTCAAGGGTGGCTTTTCCTAGAGAAGGATTCAGGTTGATCTGAAAATTTCCATTGATTGTTCTGGGTTTGAGGCACCTCCTGTTTTTCTTCTCGTGTTTATGTTCTGCTACCAAGGCTTCTGCATTCCGTGCATGTCATTTAATCTTTGGTCGAGCAACATCTGGGCTCACATCTGCTGTGAGTGCCTTCGCGTGCAGGTGGCATGACTGCTGTCCTGCAGGTGCCAGAGTAGTACAGTTCCCGCCTGAGGGTCTTTGCTTCTGGGTTTGTGGTCTGTTCAGCAAGCTGAGGATGCCATTAGATAATTCCTAGGTTAAATGTCAAGGTAGATCTTTATGCTGTTTCTTTCCTGTGGCATCTCAAGAGTCCAGGCAATAGAAGTGGAAATAAAATTTTCTTGGAAGATGACTTGCAGTACCTTTTGTCCTTGGCATAAAATTGCTGCCTCTGACAGACATACAGTCCGCTTGCTAAAATCATAACTAAAGAGTCTACACTGTTTCCCTACTTTGTTTGGACACTTTTCAGGATATTTGATCATTGAGTCCAGGAAGATGCTATTTTTTACCATCCAAATGTTGAGGAGCCATCCAGTCCTCTATAGGCTGGCTTTCAAAAGTGATCCTTCAGTGTGAGGTTTTTCCCATCTGTCCCACGATCCGTTCCTTCTAGTCTGTAGTCCTGCTACACCAGAGTCTGTATCAGGAAGGAGTTGAGAAGCAGCTCAACTCAGTGACCACTTTCTCATCTGGTCTGAGGTGTGTGGGCCTGCAGGGTGCAAGCCTGGTACCAGAGCACGAGCTGATGTGGACAGGTATCCTGGTTTGATTCCAGGGCTGGTTCAGCCTGGATCCCGAGATGGTTGGTCCTGCTTGGAACCCTTTTGTCCTTGAAACAGGAGAGCAAAGATGAGGCTGCTCTCGCCCATGTCCATGACTTTCCTCTGGTCAGCCTCGACAGTGCAGTGCTATTGAGAATTTGGATGGTGGGGAACCTGGAGCGTTTCTCGTGTGACTTCAGTGGACAGTCAGGCTGAGTACTCTGTTACCACATTAACTGTACAAAGGCCCTTCAAACTCTGCCACTGTAATACATAATCATACTGAGACATGAAAGAGGCTGTGGAAATCAAGCATCCCTATCCTCTTTGAGAGCATTTTGGTTTTCCACTGTTTATCAGGTGGCGCAGCACCGTTGGTGATCTGCTCAGACTGTTACGACAATGCAAACATCTACTCCAGGACACGAGAGTACTGTCCCTATGCCTACATCACAGAAGAGGACCCTCTGGATCAAACTCTCCCTAATCTCATGGTGCAGATGCCTAAGGAAACGTATGCAGCACGCACCCAGCACGAAACCAGTACTCTTGATAATCTCTTAGCAGACAGAGATATGGCTGTCTTCCTTACCAACCATGACAAAATAAGTGAAAAGAAAATCTCCTCCCAGCAGATGAATGGTGAGTGTCCCACTTTCCCTTTTGTTGCTTCGCATTCCCTGATAACTCTGGCCTTCCTTGTGCTGCCCTTCACTATTGACACACAGCTAATTCTTCAAGTGACCGTAGTTTGTGGAGTAACTCATCTGTTTATTAATCACCTGTTCTCAGAACTCGCCCTCATTTGCATCTGGCACCCAAGAGTTGAAGAGGATGATGTTAAAAAAAATGGTGTTTCTTAATCTGCAGTTCATCTCTTAAAGCTTGTGTAATGTGATCCTTCGCATGTCCTTCAGGGGCAACTATTAGCCAAGACTTAAAGCTTTACATAAGAAATTCAGAAAGCCCTTCTGTTTGAGCTGGCCTGAGTTTCAAAGAACTCCAAAAGATTATTTTTTTTTTTTTCAGTATATTGATTGTTTTTATGTTGACTTTATTCCAGGTAGCCCTTTTAAAAATTCACACTGAAACTGTGTGTGTTTCTGCTTACTGTAGCAGACTGCTGAAATGGGAGAGCATCCAGTGAATTATGCTCTCAAAAACAGAGAAAACAACCTCAGAAAGACTGTTATTGCTGAGTTGAACAACTCAAAAAAAAAAAAATCTGTCTAAAATTTGAGTGTGTTTCTCATGAACTCACCCCTGTTCATCTTCTAATTCTTTTTTCCTCAGAACCCTTTCAGCTTCCTCTGTGGGGAGTAAACAAAGACCTTGCGCTCTCTCACTCCCACTTTCTGCATCAGCAGTCGGCCCGTGAGACCCCACGACCTCTTCGAAGCGAGGGCATTATTGACAGTGACCAGGAACAAGCTGCTTCACCCAGACCCTGCCACAGGTTACGTGAACATAACTTTGATTTTAATAGGACACGGAACCTTCATGACTATAGTGAAACTACGTAAGACACTAAAATGAAGTCTTGAAAGCAAATCCGTATCAACTGACTTTTTGTATTTACTACCTCAGGACTAACCCCAAGGCCAAAGATGCTTGTGTACATGTGTCTACAATTACAGGCTGACTAAACAGAGTCACACTCCCTAGCAGGAGGTGGCACATGCCCTTTTTCCTTGGATTTCTGTATATTGGAAAATGGGAATGTGCAACAGAGAAAACATGGATGATTAGTGATATCTACAAGAACAGCATTAAAACTTGGATATTCTGATGCTGGAAGCAGCCTTTGTGTTGGTGCATGCTTTGAAAATCTCTCAAGAGTGCGTAGCTATTTCACACCGCATTGTCTGCTTGAAAACAAATGTTCAGGGCCTCCTTGTGGAATTCCCCAGTAACTGTAAGCATAAAACTCTTGGCCAGCTTTTTGTTCCTTAGACTGTTGGTAGACGTCTGTTACCAGTCTAACTTTGGGGCTTGTTTTCTCCTATGAATAATGGACTCTAGTTGTAAATAAATTTTCATTTATAAATATTTTGTATACACTAAGCATATAAATGTGTTGGCTGTAATGTAAATATGTTTTTTATTATGCCAAAGTATCATACTGTTAGTCTTGACAGCTGCATATCAAGCCATATGGGGTTTTTTGGTGGGACTGAAAGCTTGTTTCTGATGGGATAGAGCTACCTTTGGTTTGGCAAGAAGTGAATTTACTATAGGTATGTGGTGAACTTGTGATACTGATGAATTTCATTGTTCCATACAACTCTGTATGCATTAAGCCTGGCTGACCTGACTGCAAGCTGATCCAGTTCACGACATAAGCAGAGTTCCAAGTTTGACCCATTTAAGTGTTGAGAGAGTCCTTAAATCTCTGTGTGAGGCACCTGTCTTGTCCAGTGGAGCGTAAAGCCCAACAGACCCTGGGTAAACCAAGCAGTGCTCACCTGTGTTCCAGGCTGTAGTATCCAGCTTCCCAGGTGTTCTTGTAAATAGCAATCCAAAAGGACAGTATGCAAAATGCTTCCTTCGGGTCATTTGGTAAAATAGCTGTAAGATGGGAGTTTTGAGTGGTTTCTTTCAGCAGTTTATCTCTAAGCTCTTACCTTTAAAAAAAGCCTTAGTATTATGTATGTTGCAGAGATGTCTCCATGTGTTTTTCCTAGCTGACAGTTAAGTGAACTTTTAAAAAGAGTGTTGTGATGAAAAACACCAGATAAATTGGGCATGTGTAGTATAAAACACTTGTGTCCTTTTCTATTGTAAAATATCAGTCAAAATTGTTGCCCTGTTGAACTCTCTAATAGTTCCCTAGACCTCATTGTGGCCTAAACATTTAAGTATTTGACATGTGAGAAATGAAACAATATGCAGGGAACCACTCAATTTTGAAAATAGAGTACTTGCTGAGACAGAGGAAGCGCAAACTTCATTAGTTACCTTTATTAGTTACCTGAAATGTTTTAATAACATACATGCTAAAAGAAGAATCTTGGGTTCCTTTCTTTCTGGTTTTATTTCCTCCAGGCTTTTTCTTTCCAGACAGCATTTAAGACGTGGTGCTTATTTTCAATCCAAAGTTATCTCTGGTGCAGGAACCCAGTACTGTCAGTTTCAATCCAGATGAGAAAGGTCATGTCATGAAACTGCAGCAGCAGCAGCAAAGCCTCGTCCTTTTGGGCTGCTTTTCTGCTTTCTCCAGCTACTCACCCAGGCTGCTGTGGCCGAGTGCTCGGCATGTGCAGAGCCACGATTTCCCCCGGGGGGAAAAGGGCACCCTTCTGTGCTCCATCGCCCGTCTCCATTTGGCAAATGCTTGTTAGCTTTTCTTTCATCCCTCTCTTCAGTGGAGTTGAGCTAAGACAGATGTGTCTCAGTCCAGCTGTGGATGTCCAGACCTTGGGCGTGCTGTGGGCACAATTCCCTGGTGCCACTGAATTCCCTTTAGGTAGGTGAGATGCGCTTGGCCAGGACCAAGGCTTTAAAGTTGATGCAGTCTGCACCAGAACAAACTGAAGTGCTAGCTCTCAAAGCCATTTGGGAGCTAAAGCTGCACTGATTTCTGTGAGATTCTGACCTGCAAAAGCTGCCATTATGAATGAGGACATTTGCATCCTTCTGTGAGCAGTGATATTTCTTTAAAGTCCATAAGCTGGTTGTAAATAGCAGAAGCTTGTAAGTAGGTGAACACCTTGCTGTGCTTAGCATTGTGGAAAAACTTCCTAGGTAGACTTGCAGAAAAAATCAGGTCTCTCTTCTGTCCCCTTTCCTCCAGGAGGTACAGGTAGGTCAGCGTGGCCATTCTGTTTTCAGTGAATGCAAACAGTTTCTTCAATCAATGCCAAAGTACTACCAGTGCAGGAGCTGGGGGTTTGTAAGACAGTGTGAGCAAAGCTGCTCTTGTTCTCTGTTGCTATTTCCTAGTGTCTATTTATATTTTTTTCACATAAGATTGTATATTTTGTATAGCATGTGTAATATATGTTTGTCTATTGTAATATAACCTTGTTCAATAAAATGATATATACACTGAGCATCCAGCGTAACTTTGTTAGTTTGCATATTAAATAACTTATTTTGTTCTAGGATATTTAATTTTCGTAGAGAAAAACCATACAGTTAACTTTTCTGTCTGGCCATGTTGCTGGGCAGCTGGCTCCGGGTGCCCCTGCTCGAGCAGAGGGCTGGACAAGGTGACTTCCAGAGCTCCCTTCCAACCTCAGCCATTCTCTCACTCTGTGATTCGTGTTTCATTTTTCCTGTAGGAAACACCCCGTACCCTCTTCTGAAGATGTGCGGCTCTTCTCCCACGGTGCTGTCCACTCTGGGCCAGGAGGCTCACGGATGGCCGTGCTCCCAACGCTGTCCTGCTACTCGGATCCTTTGAAGGACCAAAGGGATTCTCTTTCCAGCAAGAAATCGTCAGCACGAATGAGTTGGCGAGAGCATGACCCTGCGTAGGTGCTGCAGGAGGGGAGAGGTGCGTGCCGCCCACCCCACCAGCTACCAATCCTCCTGAAAGCCGGTGTGAGTTCTTTTTATTCCTTTGAATGACTTACTCGATTTCTCTCGCTGTATTCTTGTGCTGGTTCATGTTCTGATAATTAATCACCTTTGCTCTCCTGTGCTCCCTTTTGCACGCTTCACCGTTTTACCTGCGCACAGCTCTCGGCACCGTGTGGCTTTTCCCAAGCTAACCGAGCTCCCGAAGCCGCCTCGTCCCCTGTTCTGGCCGACGAGCGAGCTGTGCGCGCAGGGACGGGGGCAGTGGGAGCTGGGTGTGCGCAGCCTGACGTGCGAGAGGCCGGAGCGCAGCCCAGGGCAGCCTCAGCGCGGGGCTCTGCCCCCCTGCCCGGGGGGGACCAGTTTGGTCCGGCTGCAGCTCCCAGGAGCGGCTGTAGGACAGGCTCTGCAGCCGGGGCCTCGCCGTGGGTCCCTGCCCGGCTCTCCGGGGCAGCCTGGGGTGCGTGGGCCAGCGCTGCCCCGCGGCCCCCGCGCGCGGGGGAGCGCGGCGTGGCCGTGGGTCCTACGCTGAAACATCCACAAAGCCACGCCAGGCTGCAAGCAAACGCCGTGACTTCTGTCGTCTCCCTTCAGAGCAAGAGCTAAAGGACTGCCCTTCCTCTGCCTGCAGGCTCCGGACTTCTGTGTTCATCAGCTCACGTGCCTGGTGACCAGGGCTTCCTCCGGGGACGGCAGAGCCGCCCGCCACCTCCAGCCAGCTCAGGAGGTTCCCCTCGTGTTCGCAAGCTGCGTCGGGCTTTGGGACCGGAGCTGAAGCATTCATAGAGTGTCCGCAGCATTCCCCACGTCCCAGCTTCTTGCTGGCTCTTAGGTACTTTCAATCCACCGCGATGGCAGGGGGATGGCCTCCATGGTACGGGCCTGCCCCGCAAGCCTTGATTTATCCAGGAGCGTCAGTGTTGTGGAACCCCACCCCATCCTGTGATCACTTCAACAAGATGCTCAGGAAAAACCAGCTATTGCCTTCCCTGGTAAGTTCAGCTCTCCCTGGCTCATTATGTACATCTCAGCCTTGGCACAGTGTCAGAGAACCAACAGCTATTGAAGATAAGATCGTGAATAGTTAATGTTCTCAGTTACCCAAGCATATTTAAAAATTAACACCGAAGCCTGGTGCTGATGAGATTAAAAAACTGGGTCATCAAAGAGAGGAAAAAACAGAAAACAATTGCATCTACCCTCGGGCTTCACTAATGACTGAGTTTTCATGGAAGGTCCTACCCCTTCCTTGCTTTAATCCTTCAGTGGTTTAAAATACTGGCTACTTCATTAACCCGCCTTCCCTCCTCCTGCCAGGCTCTCCACCCCCTCTCCTGCAGGAGCTGCTGGCCCCTTCGATGAGGCTCGTGCTGGTGGGTGCTGCGAGCGCCTGCCCCTCGCCCGTCCCCCCGCGCACCACGGGGCAACGGAGCCCACGGGCACGTTGGAGTGGCGGTTTGGGGGGCCCGGTGAGGCGGTTTTGGGGGCCCGGTGTGGCAGCCAGGGCTACGTGTCCGGGGCGGGGGGCGGTCAGAGGGCTGGGGCTGGGTGCAGCCCCCTGAGCTGGCGCAGTGCTGGGGCCGTGCTCCCCCTCTGTCCCCGGGGTCTCCTTCGAAGTCCGTCAGGGTCCGCGCTCAACAAGGGGCCAAGCTGAGAGGGAAGGGGCGGGCGGTCCCTCGGGCTGGGGAGCCCCGGCCCCGGCAGGGATGTGGCAGGGCCGAGCTCGGGGATGCTGTTCCCACGCGGGGGAAGCTGGAAGAGACATAGGATCCTCTTCAAACTGAAACCAGGCATTTGTAGGTAGGCGAGAGTGCTGGGAACAAGTAAACTCCACGTCCTTACTTTTATGGCTTTTGCCCTGGCGCAGGGAGCCGGGTCACCGCTCCCTGGGAGGGAGGCGGCAGCGCGGGGAGCGCCGGGCCCCGGCCCCGCCGAGCTCGCCCCCCGCGCGTCCCCGGGCCAGCGGAGGTGCTGCCAGCTCCGTCTGTCCGTCTGCGCGTTGGAGGGGAGGTTTCCATCGCCCTCGAGGAGGGCGGCTGAGCTCGTCCCCCCCGGTTACGGGTACCGAGGGAGCAGAGGGGAGCAGAGCCAGGCCCGGGGCTGCCGCCCGCTCTTCCTTCCCGTGTCTGACCCAGCTGTTGCTGGGGCTGCTCCTCGCTGCACCGAGCCCCCCGGGGCGGGAAACGGGGTGAAACGCGGCACGGCAGAGACGGGGCGACCGCCGAGCACGTCCCTGGGTCACCGGCCTTTTCCTGCTGCGCCTGGGAGGCAGGCCAGGCTTGGGGTGCCCGTTTGCAGGGAAATGGAGCGCTATTAAGGCCAGCGTTTATCTCATTCTCTCCCAATGAGGTGCTGTCGATTTGCTCCGTGCAGGGACATGTGCTGATTAAACTGTGAGCGTTTATCATCAGGCGCTGGCGGCCGCGGGCCGGGGGAGCCGCCGCAGGGTCGCTCCTGCTCTGCTCCCACTCTCTGCCGATAACGTTTCCTATCGGGGTTTATCTTGCGAGCTGGCAGCTGCCTGGGGGGCAGCACACCGCAGCCTGTCCGCGGCGGAGCAGGGCAGGGGGAGCCTGCCCCCACCCCCTGGGGACCAAGCCCTGTCCCCGAGCGGGGACCCAGGGGCTGCTCCCGCGGGGGCCGGGCCCCCCCCGGCCCCCACCGCCCGGCCTGGCTGCTGGGGCTGCTCTGGGGCCCCCCCGGCGCGAGCAGCGGGCCGGGCCGGGCGGGGGGAGCTGCGGGTCAGCATCTCCGTGCCCGGGCCGGGGGTCTGCGGGTGGTGGGCGGCCGCGGCGCGGGGCAGAGCTGGGCCGAGGGAAGGGTTAAAGCTCCGTCCCCGGAGCCCTGACACACAGATCACAGCTCCCGATTCCAGCTCATCTCTCTCGGCAAAGGCAGATTTTCTCTAAATGAGATCCTCTTGCGCATAACTTGCGTGTAACACAGGGGATAACTGCTCTGCTCATCACTTTGGAGGTTCAATTTCACATTAGGTTTAACGTCTCTTCTGAAGACTTATATCTGTAATTTATCCCAGCATTTAGAAAAATCTCCCACGTCCTTGCTCAGATTTATTGTTGATACCGTTTTGCCTGACGCTGGCTGTTGCCGGCGCATCTATTGAACGGTGGGCTGTGATTTGTGACTTGCCAAAGGGGATTTCAGGATGCAGAAATAAATGTGCCCTACTCGATTAATAGCTAATAGCCTGCTGAGAGCGTCCCTGGCAGCGTGCTTGGCTTAGGGAGGGACTGGCTGAACAGAGTGAGGAGCTGTTCTGCAGAGCAGGACAGATCCCTTTCTGAAAAATTTTAATTAACTTAAAACAAATGCCCAGGAAAGGGCCAGCCATTAGCTGCCTTTGCTTCCTGAGACTCATCCCTGCTAATTAAGCAGTGTGTCAGTGCAAGTGACCTACAGATAACACAGCACCCAATTTGCATTTAAATTAAAAACCATATTTTTAAAATAAGGGTTTCATTAGACCCTGTTTGTTTGTCTTTCCAGGCATACACGTTCTCAAACCCTTCACTGATTTTTAGTGACTGGCTTTTGGACTGGCAGCAGCTCTGGGGGTCGGGGTAGCACGGGCAGGTCCCGGCCCTCTGCCCTCGGAAGCTCCGACAGCCGGATCTGGAGAAGTTTTCGGCGGAGCCTCTGCTACGGCGCGATGTGATGAGCCCCGGAGCCCCGGCGTCCCCCCGGGCTGTTCAGCCTCGGGAGCTGACGGTGAGGGGCTCTCGGTGCCCTCTGAAGTGGGATGCCGCTTTTCTACCCGGTGTTTTCCCTCGCTCAGTTGTCATTAGCTGCAGGAGCAGCATCAGCCGCAGAAGTCTGTGGTTCCCTCCCGGTGTTTGTGCTGGGGCTGTGCCACTGGTTTTATGGAGAGGTTTTCTTCCCTCCACTGCTCCAAAATGCAGCAGCCGTGCCTTGCCTTGCCTGCTGCCACGCCGTGACTCACGCTAAACCCAGCGCCCGCAGCCGGAGGAAGCGGGAGCACCCAGCCGGCGAGGGGAGAGCGTCCGTCTGTCCTGCAGCACCTCTGCGGGGGCCTGGCTCCCGGGGGACGGGGTGTGCACAGCTGTTTGCACGGTGCATGCGTCATCCCCCAGGCAGCAGCAGGGCTGGGGCCCCAGACGGACAGCAGGACACGTGTGTTGGTGCTCCTGCGTGCTGTCGCGATGCCTGTCCTGGCGAGGAGGTGTTGGGCGCTGCAGGCTCCACCCGGCCTCCCCCCCGGCCCTGGCAGCGAGCTGGCGGCCGGGCAGCACCCCTGGCCCCAGGGGCACTCAGACCCTCGTCCCCGGCGCTGCGGGGCCAGCGCCGACCCCCCCCGAGGTGCCTGGCGAGGCCCAGGGGCACCCTGTGTGGAGGGGAGCGGGGTGGAAGCGTCTCCAGTGCAGACGCTGGTCGCTGGGGAATCCTTCGCTCGGCGGAGGCCGATAGCGCACGGAAACGCGCCGTCAGCGCTGCCTCTTCACCGAGCACTGAGCCAGGGGCTGGGCCGTGGTCCTGGGTTTCTTGTGTTAATGTGCTTCGTATCCAAAAGGGGATCTGGTCTTCGCCTGGGGCCTCTCTCTTTCTCACCCTCATTTTTTAATTTTAAGTATTGAGGCATAACAGACTCTTACTGAGATCTCGTCTGGTCTAAGCCAGGCCGCGCTCTGCAGTTGATTCCCACGGACAGCGGGGAGGAGCTGGGAGCTCTGGCTGCACTGGGCAGGTTTCTCCTCAGCGTTAATGGGATTTAAACTTTTGTGAGCGAAATTGAATTACTGAGCATGGGCTCCAATTACGTGTGGGGGACGTGTGAGCATCCGTAAACCCAGTGACCTCGTCAAAGGGACGCTCGCCCTGCCAACCCAACCCGGGCAGCTCTGGGGCTCGAGCCCCGCAGCGCGGCGGCCCGGGGGGCTGAGGGGGCTCCGGAACCTGCCCCCCCTCCTGCTCGGCTCCCGGAGCCGGGATGTGTCCCCTCTTCCCCCGGTGTCAGCCGTGCCGTCCCCACGGGGTTGGCAGCCCCCCCGGGACCTCTCCCCTGTGCCCAGAGCTGCAGCCCTCGGGCCGTTAAGCTGGCACAACCTCACGGAGCCCAACTCCCCTGGGTACCTTTCCTCTCTCTCTCAACGCCATCAGCTGTCCCTGTCCCCTGGCTCGTTTTCATAGAGACCGAGGCGGGAGCAGTGGGTGCGGGGCTCAGGTCCCGCGGGGGCCTGCGGTGCAGACTGGCCCCCGGCTCCGTGTCCCGTGACGGGGTGCAGCACCCGTGCCTGCCCCCCTCCCGCTGCTCTCCCTGCGCTGGGCTCTGGCCGCGGCGCCGATGCCCGGCGGGCGCTCTCCTCCGAGCCGGCCCGAAGCCGAGCCGGCCGGGCCCCCCGGGGGCAGCAGTACCTGGCTGCCCGCTGCGGTCCTGCCCTCCCTTTCGGTTGCCCCTCGCTCCTCTGCCGGGGCCTGACAGCTTTGATTTCTTTCTCCTGGTTAGAGAACATGAGGTTTTTGACAGCTGCCTTTGCCATTATTCTTCCCTTAATGCTGTTGTTGTTTTGCGTTACTGTCAAATCGCATCTTATTAAAGTTCTTCCCATCCTGTCAGCGGCAGATGAGGAGCACGGAGGGCTGCATAATCTCCTGGCTCTGTCCGGGGAAATTGCCTTTTATTATTGATAAGGCAGCACTGCCTTTGGAGGACGTGACTCGGCCGCATGCGGGAGCAGGGGCACAGCACCCTCGGCCGTGCCGGTGCTGGAAAGAAGAGCCAAGGCCTGCCAGGGGAGAGGGGCCGATCCTGCCCGGAGCATCCAGGCGCCCCCGAGGGGAGTGGAGCATCTGCCCCCCGCCCCTGTGCTTGCTCCCGCCGAGCAGCACCGTGGCACCCCCGGACATGTGTCCCCCTCGGCTCAAACAGGAGCCTGAGAGCACCAGGCACCGCGCAGGGAAAACGTCCTGTCCTGGCTTATTTGGGCCAGGGGCTGCTGTGAGCACCGGGGGGGTTGTGCTCCTGCCCCTCGCAATCCCCTTGGGTCCCAGCGGGGCGTCTGGGGGAAAGAAATCTAGAACGTCACAAAAACTCTCTCTCTGAGCATGAAGTATTTATCCGTGTTTGCAGCGTGTTCCAGCTCCCGGCTGCAGCGGGGGGGCCCGTGCGGGCACGCGTGCCCGTGAGCAGAGGTGTGACGGAGCCGGCAACGGGCCCCGCAGCCGTTTTCCAGCCAGACACAACCGTCCCTGGCCCACGTGCCATTCGGAGGGGCTCGGCCACACTGAGGCTTGCCCCCACCCAACAGTAACGCCGGTTAGTGCTGGTAACTGGTCCCGGGAGCTGGGGTGGGGGGTGCTGGCCAGGAAGGGACCGGGCGGGGAGAGGACACTGGTCCTGTGGGAGCTGATATCCCATTTCCAGGGTGGATCTTGATCTGCCGATGAGCTCCAGTTACGCTTCGCTCTACGAACAGTCGCACCTTTGCAAAGCGACTGACACTTCCCACGGCTTGCTAAAAATTCCTTGGCACCAGAGCAGTTCCTCGGGCTTTGTTGGGCTGGAGGGAGCTGTTTCTACCCGCAAAGCTCCGTACAGAAGCGCGGGCGCTGCTCGGCCGGAGGAGCGGGGCAGACCCGGCTGCTGGGGGGGGTCCGGGCCCCGGGCAGGGGTGCAGGGGGCGGGGGGTGCCACCGGGATGCAGGCTTTGCAGGCAGCGACTGTATTTTCCCGTGCACGTTTAATACTCTCCCTTGCCAGGTAACGGCGTGGCGGATGCTCGTCCGTGCCCTCGGCCTCTCTCCGCAGCAGCCGGCGGTGGGCACAGGGCCGGGACCCCTCGCAGCCCCCGCGCTGCACCCCGAGCCCCTCGGCAGGAGCCCCAGGACCCGCCGCTGCCGCTCACGGGCGGTGGAGGCTGCGCCCGGCTCCGTGGAGCTGGACGGGCCGGCGGTCCCTGGGGCTCATCCTCCGGCGGCCCGAGAAGCACTGGGCTGTGCGCGCGGCGCTGGCGGCGATGCGTCCCGAGGGCCGTCCCGTGGCGTGGGCTCTCTGCTGCTCGGTCTGCCGAAATCCCGAGTCCGACGGGGGCCGTGTCCTGGGGCCGAGGGGAGCTGAGCCCCGGGGGGCTGCGGGGCCGGGGCTCTGCTGCCAGCGCCCTTTGGTGATGGATTGGGCAGGAACCTGCACATTCAGCACCAGCCCAGCCGCCCTAGCAAGTACTATTTTTTTTTGCTGATAAATCTTGTTTTTAAATTAGCTGCATGTCAGACTGGTAAATAATGCATCTTATAAATGAAAAGAGCGCCTGGACCCAGGCTGGAACAAACAGCCTGTGCTGCAGGTACAGCAAGTCCTGTGCAGCAGGGAGAACAAGCAGCAGCGGTACCTGGAAGCAGATTGCCTCCTGGACTGATTTTCAAATTGCCTTTTTAAATCTTTAGTTCCCACAATATATTCCATGAGCTTTTCCCATAAGCATAAATCCGGGAGTAGCTTTGATGGGAACATAAAGGTTTTATTTGTATGAACTCAGAGAGCGGCAGGGAAGGCAGGAGGCTCGGGAGGTATCAGCCCTCGGGGGAGCCAGGTCTCTCCTTTTTGGAATGTTTGCAGCCACGTCAGAGCGGTCCCGGTAGGTGCCTTGCTCCAGACCCCGGCTCAGCTTCCCCTAGCCCCTTACCACCCAGATTTGAGTAGAACAGATTGTTAATTACTATTAAAAAATCCCAGGAGCTACACGGTACCATGCGCTGCCTGCGTGGAACAGATGGGGTCGGAGCTCCTTGAGGTCTTGGATGCAGGTGGTTTTGCACTGGATAAAACCCTCTGCGACCCCCAGCTTTTTCCTGGGGATACCCAGTCCCAAATGGGACGTGCTGGGGAGGTTGGTGCCCAGTGCTGGAGCCCCGGCAGCGCTGGGTGCAGCCGCGAGCCTCCCTGCTGCGATCTGAAGGGCGAGAGCATCGCCTCACCTTGGCTGCTCGGCCTTGAAGGTCACCAGCGCTTGCGCAGGGGCCCGTCAGGGCTGTCGGCGGCACGTCCCTGCCGCACGTCCCCTGGCCATACGAAGCCCTGGAGCGGTGCTGTTTGGTTTCCAGCACCCCAGCAGACGCGCCGGGTTGCTTTGGGCACACGCGGCCGCAGAGCAAGCGAAGGATTTGAAGTCAGAAAGTGGCTCGGACTGCAGAGCGGCTGGCGTGCTGCCCTAGGGGCAGATTCCCTCGTGGCTGCAGGAGAGTAAACCTGGGGCAGATGCCAGTTTGCTCGGTGAGTCCTGTCACCATCGTGCGTGCTGGGGACCTGGTGCCCTTCGCGCAGGGGGAGCACCCACGGGGCAGCTCCGCAGCAAACACCCCGGGCGCGGGGCTGGGGCTCGGTGGTTTGGCGGCAGATCTGTGCAGTGCTCTGGGGGAACTGCGTCTTCCCAGGAAGGCCGGTCGAGGGGGGCTCGGCCCACCCACAGAGCTGCTGCCCATCTCTGAGTGGGCTGCGCAGAGGAGAGGGGGCTGGTGATGGATTACGTGCTGTTATCGGAAGCAATTCCCGGTCAGCAGCGTGCCGTGAGGCAGTACGGAGGGGCCTGCGGGATGGATGTGAAAACAGCGCGATAGATTTCCTGAATGCTGCTAAATGGGTAGGGAATAGTTAAGGGCTAATTAAAAATCTGGATGGCTTCCAGGAATAAACAAAATGGGATAGCCAAGGTGCTTGTGAACTGTTGTTAAAAGAAAAGTTCTTCGCTGCAGGGGTTGAGCTGACGCAGCTGCAGCTGCGGAGCATCCTCTGGCCCGGCAGCAGCAGGAGCGGGTGGTCGCGGCCGAGTCTGTGGCTGAAGGGGGGTGCGGGTGGGAGGCAGAGCCCGCTGCGGTGCCGGGGGTCCTGCCCGCCCAGCGCGGGGGCTCCTGGCTTGGCTGGAAGTGGGGAGGAGGAGAAGCAGCTCTGAACCCCGTGGTGCCCGTCCAGCCACTGCCGCTGGTTCCATTTAAACTCTGAAGCCGATTTCCCACAAAGGTAATTTTCTGCTTCTCTGACTCAATTCTATCCATCTTTTAGAGGGTAATTAGCATCACTTCGGTGTTCTTTTATGCCCAACTAATTGCACCTTGTTTCAGGAGTGAAAGTTAATGCCTCACCATTTAGGTTAGCGCAGCAATTTACGATTAGGGATGGGGCCAGGCAGAAATGTGTACCAGGAGTACCGCTGCCCGCCTGCCTGCCTTGAGACTGGCTGCTTGCCCCGGTGGAGATTTCCCATCTCCCATCGGAGCTGCTCCTGGGTGCTACAGCTGCGTAGCGGTGAGCCCGTGGTGCTGAAGCCACATGCAGCAGCCGGGGTGGGGGGGCCGGGGGGGGCCGGCTCGTGCGCTGGCGTCTGGGGCGGCAGCGGGACGGGGGTGACAAGGGGGACGCTGCGGCCGCACGTGGCTTCGGCCAGCCAGAACCCGGGGCCAGTGACGGGGCCGCTGCCCGCACGTGGCTGGAGGGGCTCCACCGGGACCCGCCTGGCGCCACCGGCGAAGCAGCCGGGGCTGGACGTCGCTGTGGGGCAGGTGGGGGTCAGCGCAGCGGGGTCCTGCCCCGGGACAGGTCACTGCACGGCCGTACGTGCTGGGCACCTCTCCCGCTACGGCAGCGTTCGTCTCGCCTATCGCTAATTGTTCTTCACGTTCAGCCAGGGGGACCGAGCGGATCGCTCCCGCGCCCCGGGGCCCGGCTGTGGCCCCGCAGCACGGCCCAGCCCCCTCCTCCCCTGCGCCCACAACGGCGTTTTCTGCGGTCCCCGGGCTGCCCGCGAGCGCGGAGCTCGCAGCCCGGCCCAGCAGCGGAGCCCCCGGGAGCCGCTGCGCCCTCGTCCCGGGCCCCAGCCTGCAAACGGTGCCCGGCAAACGCCAACCAGACCCCGCGGCTGGAGGCCTCGTGTAAGGGGCTGCTGACCAGGCTTCAGCGACTTTGATAGCGTCAAGGACTGGAAAGTAAATACTTCTGCTATAAATCTTGTCTGCTTTAAAGTAGGTTATACTTTCAAAGCACTTTAGTTCTGAGGAATTTAATATTGAGATGTCAATTGTAAGACAAGTAATTGGATGGGGAGAAGGTTGTTACCGGCACCTGAGATTAAAGGCAGGATTTGAAATGCTGTGTTGCATGCAGGTGGGTGTTTTTGTTCGCTGCAAATACGACTCTGGAGGGTTTGCAGGCAGCGTTTCCATTTGATGTCGGCTCTGCTGCTCCCCGGGCTTTGCTGCGCCTGGGCCGTGTCCTGCCGTGGCTTGAGCACGGGCTGAGTCGTGGAGACGAAGGTCAGAAGAGAAACGTGTTTCCTCACGAAAGCTCTTGCACGAGGCTCCCCCAGCGCTGTGTCCCCACCGGGACCCCAGAGAGCCCCCACGCCGGAGGGGCGAGGAGCTGCCGCGGGGTTTGCAGGGGGTCCCGGGCGCCTCGGCCGGTGCTGTCGGGGCGCGGGTCCCCGTGGTCCTGGTGCTGCGGGGGGGTCGGCGGTGGCCGGAGGGCGGGTGGGAGGTGTGAGCAGGACGCTTTCGGGGCCGGCGCTCGGCCCTGCCGGCTCCCTGCTCGCCCTGTGACACGAGGCGAGTGTCTGAGACACGGCAAGAGGCCGAGGGAGCCGCTGGCCCGGAGTCTGGGCACGGCTCCCGGCGCGATCCGCTTCTGTGGGGAGGGGCAAGGGCAACCGGCGCCGGCAGAGCCCGCAGGCCCCTCGTGCTGAGCCCGCAGAGCGAACGCCCGGCAGCACCCGGGGCTGAGCCCCCGCAGGGAGCCGGTGTCCAGCCGGGGGGCTGCGCCCGCGGGACGGCTCCGCCGGGGCAGTTCGCGCTCCCTGACGCCGCCGGGTGCTCGTCCACGGGGCTCTGTGTCCGTGCGAGGGAGAAGATCCAGACCCGCGCTTAATCCTCCCTGTGAGTGGGTTGCTTTAATCTCACTGAGCAGTTTATATTGTAGGTTATTAAAAGGGCTTTGCGCCCACGCTGGGAGAGACCCGGGCTGCTCCCAGGGAAGCCTCTGCCTCCCCGCCGCCCTCCCTCACCCGCTCCTGCCTAGGGATGGAGTTTCCGACGTCCCGTGGACGATGTTTTCCTGGCCTGTCCCTTTCCAAATCACGAGCCGCGCTGGCGTGAGCCAGCATCCAGTGCCTGAGGTGAGCAGGGGCTGGCGGGACCCCGGCTGTGCCCGCCGGGCCGAGCCGGAGCTGCCGCGAGCCCCGAGCCCGGCTGAGACCCCGCGGCTGCCGGAGTTCTGGCCGGGGCGAAGCGGCGCCGGGGATCAGGCGCCCGGTGGGTGCTCCCAGCCGAGGGTGTGCAGGAGCGCCCCGATCCTGCAGCCCCGTCATCTCCCAGTGCCCCTTCGCCCAGCCTAGCCAAGGTAAGAAGAAAATGTGCTTGGTTTAGTGACAAGACTTTGATATTTCCAGTCCTAATCTTTCTGCGAAACAGCGGCTACCAGACAGGTGAGCTGGTCGGCTGTGCCTAATGTAGATAGATAGCGGATCAGCTTTTCTGTCTTAGTTTGCTCATGACCTAGAGAATTAGCGGAGAGGATCCGTTATCCTGCCAGTGCACTAATGACTCCTGCAAGAGAAGGGCTCCCCAGGGAAGGAGTGGTATTTGCTAACCTTTCCCTGGCTCACTTTACATAATAGCACACTCCTCCAAATGTCCTCAGCGTGACTGGCTATTCCCCTTCTCCTTCATTCTGCATGGCATTTTACTTTTTAAATTTCAAGAGTATTGCACAGTAAGAAAAGGTGCTGAATTCCTCATGTCACTCATCCTCCCTCTCCCTTCGGAGGCTATTCTTAGAGATGCCATCAGTTTAGGAATTCAAAGGGAGGCACTTTTCCTCTTCAAGGTCTCCAAAGATTGCCTGTATCCATATGTCCAGATAGAAAAGAAAAACAACCTGAAATCTGCCTGCCAGTCTGCTCTTACAATACCTTGGTTTTCTTCAAAATACAGTGCAAGGCTGTGTGCGGAGGAGACAGACCCTTTTCAGGGGGCATTTCTGAAGGCAAGCGGAACAAATGAGCAGCACGCCGTGCTGGGGACCAGGCAGGACACTCGCCATCCAAAAGAACAACGCAGTGCAGAACATGGCAGGTAGCCAGGGAGCCGAGGCTGGGGTCTTACTAATAAATACTGACTTGAGAACTTGAAAATTCCCCGCGATACTCCAGAAGGTCTGTTTTTAGTGTAATAAACAAACAGTATTTTGCAAGCTTACGATATTTCTTAGGCGAAGGTCTAGTCACCGCCAGTGCGTCTCTGCCAGGTGCATTATCTCAGCAGCGATGGAGCCCTGCAGCCAGGGCGGGCCACGAGGCAAAGCGGGGCCCAGAGCGTGAGGAAAGGCGCTGGGGAAGCTCCTTCCTAGGCTGTGGTGTTGATAAATGACCTGTAGGAACATCTAAAGAGGTTGGTAATACTCATCTTGGGGACAAAATCCGTGGCTCCCCAGGACGTGACTGTTGTTGCTGCACTTGTTTCGACACAGTGGTTTTTGGGTTCCTGTTTCTTTTTTTTTTTTTTTTTTTTATAATAGACTTAACCTTTTGCATGTTTGATTTCATGCACTGCTCAAATACCTCAGCAGGAAAAATAATGTCCTTATTCAGCTGAGCGTAAACAAGTAGTGCTGAGATTTTCTGAATTATGTTAAGTACCTTTGGTAATTCAAGAATAAATCTAAGCTGGGCCAGGACAGCATGTTACCCAGCAAATGCTGGAAAAAGAAGTGGAATCTCAATCTGCAGTCGTGAGACCAGGAATCCAATCTGAAATTGTTCCATCTCAATTGTTTTGGCACGACTTCATGTTCCCAGGCTATGCAGGTTAATGCACAGCTGGAGAGCAAAAACTGTCATGCCTGCATAAATCTGACAGTAAATCAAACCTGGTTCTGATCTGGTTTTGGTTTATGCTTTGCAGAAGCTGTGCCCGCACCAGCACAGGCGATGGCAGGAGCCGGCAGACCCCTCCTGCCCCGGGGGCTCTGCCAGCCGCAGCCAGGGAGCCGGTCGGTGGGGACCTGCAGGCATCAGCTCCCAGCTCCGGCGTTTTCACCGGCTAATCAGCCAGGTATTGTTCTGCAGTGAGTTCAACCCCGACTCTGAGAGGGCTGTGTGGCATCCAGCAGTAGGACAAAGTGGGTGATTACTTTTTGTGCTCTCAGAGATAAGAGCGAGCCTGAGAGGGGCACACAGCCTCACTTAGAAAGGATGAAGCCATTCACAGGCTGAAGTTAAAAGAGTGTGAAGAAAGATAAGGAGCTAAAATGAGAATAAAATGAAGGTAGCAGACACAGCGCAGACAAGCAATCAGCAGAAATTCATTAGTTTGTCAGGCACAGGCAATGGGAGTGGAGTCAGGAGCCCAAAAGGTTGAATGCAATTGCTAGTACTGAACCAGAGCAAGTGGAAATTAATTCTCCTTCTCCGTGTGTCTTTGCAGAAGAGGGAACGGCTGCCCATCCGCTTCCCGCACGGGTGCTCAGCTCGGAGCGGCCCTGCCCGGCGGCCCGGTGCCCTGCGAGGCGACACGTCCCCGCGGGGACCCCTCTGCCCTGGCGCTGCCGGACCCTCTGAGCTGGCCCACGGCTCCCCCGGGGAGGCAGCGCTCGCGCCAGCGCGCCGGCCAGGTAGGACAAACTGATGAGCAACGAATTACCTAATTACGGCGCAGCTCCGCCGCGGCCAGGGCCGGTGGGAGCTGGCGGTGCCGCAGCGCGGGGCGCTGGCCTGGCGCGGCGGCGGGGGCCGGGGAGCCCCGGCTGACGGGACCCCAACGCCCGCAGCGCCGCCCGGGCCCCCGCAGCCGCAGGAGCCCCCGCGCTCGGGGCCGGGGCCGGGGCCGGGGATGCCGGGCGGCGTCTGTCCGAGCTGCCACCGACACTCCGTGCGACGGCGCGTGCGTGCGCGCTCCTCAGCCGGGCTCCCTGCACACCCACCGCTCCCCTCGCCTTCCGCAGGAATCAGCACAGTAACTACCCTGACAACGCAGGGGAAGTGCTAGCAGGTGCAGCTTATCACCATTATAAGCTGCCATTTATGTGTGTTTTTATTTCTACGGCTTCTTGCCATTGAAAACCCATAATTAAGATAATTAGAACAAAGCCATTTGCCTTGTAATCAGCATATATTTCAATAAGATATCTTAATTTACAGGCGAAAGTTGTTAACTTGTTATTTAAATAATGTTATATATATTGACAGTACACTAGTGGTGCCAGGGAGGCGTTCATAGCTCCAACTCATTTAGGGTATTTATGGCATTAATTTATTTTTTAATCCCTTTCAGTTTGACGATCACACCTCAAACCTCCAGGAAATGACGGAGTCGGTTGCAGACCGTCCCCGACCCCCGGGTAAGGCAGCGCTGAGCCATGGGGAGCTGAGCCGTGCCGCCGCAACGTGCCGCTCTCGCGGCGGCTGGGATCGCCGCTGCAGGGCCCGGGGGAGGGTTTGTCACAGCGGTACAGCTCGGTCAGGGCGCTGCGGTGACATCCTACAGCATGAGCCTGGGTGGCCTCAGATCTCTCCAAAACACTAGAGATATTCTGGCTCTGGGAATTGATTTCTCACTTTACTGTGTCAGAGGCTGTTTAAAATAGCTGCTGTCAGCATCCCAGAGTTAATGTGCGCTGGCGGGAGGTGGGAAGGGGCTGCCCATCCTCATCCTCACCCAGCCACGCTCCGTGGGGAAGGGGCTGCCCATCCTCATCCTCGCCCTGCCACGCTCCGTGGGGAAGGGGCTGCCCATCCTCATCCTCACCCTGCCACGCTCCGTGGGGAAGGGGCTGCCCATCCTCATCCTCGCCCTGCCACGCTCCGTGGGGAAGGGGCTGCCCATCCTCATCCTTACCCAGCCACGCTCCGTGGGGAAGGGGCTGCCCATCCTCTCCCTCGCCCTGCCACCAGCCTCCTGCTCGCAGCCGTCCTGCCCGCGCCTGCCGCACAAAGCAGGCAGCACCGCCTGGCAGGCTTTGCCACGCTCCTCCTCGAGACCCAGAAACGGCCTTTTTCCCCCAGCAGTGTCTTTGGAAGGTGGTTTGCAGTGCCGTTGTCCCCGTGCAGGCTGGTGTCACCCCAGCAGCGGATGCGCGGCGTCCCCTGCCCGGGCAGCGCCTGCGGCCGGGCTCCTGCCCGGGGGGGGACGGACGGTGTCACCGACGTCCCCGGGCCGGGACCGGGTGTCCGCTCCTGTTCACCTGGCAGTGATATATAACACAATGCACCTACCCGCTAGGGCTCTCATTTCCCAGGTTTAAAAATAGTTAGAGGCATTATAAACAACCTTGCACAGAACAGGACTTAAAACTTGTTTTTCATCCTATCTGTGCTCCTCGTGGGAATGAATGCTCTTATCTCCTTTCTGTGCTTGGCTTACTGCTCTGTGCAGGAGAGGAACACGAACAATGCAGCACATCCAGCACCCAGCCTCACGTGAAGGAAATGATCTATTTATTTATTTCTGCTTCTGTGATGCTCCAGGTTCTTCAGGGGCCCCAAGATGAAGCAGCAGCCATCAGAGAATCGCTTGGAGCCTGTTACCTACCAGGCAGTAGCTTTCAAAAAAAGTCTGCTTACAGAGGGCAGGCTCTGTCTCTTTCTCAAGAGCTCCGTCCAAATCCAAGCTCTGTCTGGCAGTCTCCACGTTAATAAACGCTCGCACATTAGCAATTGTGAAGTTCCTATCTTCTGCTAACAAGGTATGAATTGCGTAGCAGGGAAGCACACGAGTTGGTGGTGTATAAATGGCTCCGCGGCACCAGCGCCAGCTCGCCCGCGGGCCCGGGGGGCCGAGCCGCCGCCGTCCCCGGGGGGCTGCCGCCTCTGCCAGCCCCGCGCCGGCTGCCGCCAAGTCAGCGCAGGGGCTCCCGCTCCGGCTCGGTGCCTCCCGGTTCCCAGGCGCTGGCCTGGGAAGTCTGTGGGCACGTCTGGCTGTGCCCTCCCTGGGAAGGGCACGGCTGCCTGCGGCGCCGCGCCGGCTCGTGGGGCCTCCCCGGCAGGATGCCGGTGCCGACATCCAGAGTCGCGCGGCTTTGCTGAGATCGGGCGGTTTCTGTAGTGCTTCGGGTGCCTTCACCTGGCCGCCGCACGTGAGGGCTCTCCAGTGATGGCTTTGCGCCTGGAAATCGGTTTTGTGCTTGAGGCCCTGCCTGCGCGTTCCTCACCCACGTGCTGCAGCCACCGGCAGCGCCGCCTTCCCAACCCTTCCTCTCCAGTCGGCTGCCGTTCGGGCTTTGTTCAAAGCTCTCCACAATAAGCTGCGTGTTGCGGTGTAAAGGCTCCTTATTTATTATTTGGCAGATGGTAGGAGTCTGTTAAAAGTCCAGTTGCAAACGAGATGTGGGAAGGCTGGGCTCCTTGCGGAAGCCTTCTGCCTGAACAGATGAGCCAGGAGCGGGAGGACTCCTGCACCCCGAGGCACTGCCCCGGCCCGAGGGACGACAATTAACCAAATTACTTTCAGTAACGTACAGGACTCCGTGCCACCTCTCCCAGGTCCTGTTGCACTGCTCACACCCACGCTACCCTCTTGCTTTAGGCGCCCAGTAAATCCTGAAAGATTTGCTTTCCTTTTTTTCTTCCTTCTTTTCATGTTCAGCCCCCAAACAACCACCTGCCTGGCTACTGATCTGTAAGGGGATTTTACTGGCATAATGTGTCTTTTTTCAGGGACTGTGAAGGCCTGAAGGTGACTGAGATTTCCTGAATTTCCCACTCTTGTTATTAGAAGAAATCTTCCCATGAAATAATTCATGAGTTGAAGAGATGGTGAGGAAGCTGCTTCTACAGAACAGCCCCAGCCACTGTCTCCAGGCTCCTGTGAGCCGAAGGAGAGAGTTACAAATGAGCAGCAGGCAAACAGTTTTACATAGTTTTATTTTCTTCTAGCACCACTATGATCTATGAGCCGTAACAGGCAGATCTTTCCAAAGCGGCTATAATAACTTATAAATATTTATGGTGCTTAATCATAAGGCAGCAATGGTGCAGAAGGGATAATACCCGACGCAGTTTCGATGCGCTGGGCTCGTGTCCCTGACGCAGCCAGGACGGGGCTGTTACTGGTGGTAGGAGAGTAAGGTGCGAGCCCCGTCGCATCCCAACAGGACCTGCAGCTTTCGTCGTGCCCCTCCTCCCCTGGTCCCGTGGAACGCTGCCTCCAGCACCGAGGGAGGCCCCGCGCGCGGAGCGGGGGCTGCGCTGCCTGCTAAGGGGCGATGGCCGGGGTGTCGCTGCACCCAGGGGTGGGGGGCTGCCTCGCGGGGGCTTCTCAGAATCTGCCGGCTGCCCCCGGGGGCTCTCACAGCCCTGGTCCCTGCAGGTCCCGTGCTGCCACGGAGCTCTGACTGCGCACGGGTTATGCAGAGCAGCAGGGCTACACAGGTCCTCCTCCCGCCGAAGAAATCGGCCTTGCGTCTGCACTGTCAGCTGAGGGGGAAGTGTCTGTGGTGAAATGGCAGCTGAGCAGCAGTTTGGAAGTGAGGAGGATGTTTTGGTAGCCAGTTCTTTCTGGTTACCAAAGGAGCATTCCGTTAGGAAAGCACTTTAAGGGTTTTCACCGTGTCGCCAGCGTGCACACCGTACCCCTTTCCTCCGCCGGTCTCCGGTAGCGTGCTGTGGGCCAGTTTGTACGAGCAGTGAGCGGAACCCTCGCTCCTCTCCCGCCTCCCCGCACCTGAGGACGTTCTCGGGAGCCGGTGCCAGTGCCGGCAGCACTGCCTCACCCTCCCCGTGCTTTCCACCCGTGCTACTGCACACGGCTTTCGAGAGTCGTGCCTTCAGCAGTGAAGGCCCTTGACTATTTTGGGGTGCCCGATCCCCTCGCTCAGGGAGAGGCCCTGTCCCCGTCAGCCGGGCTGCCAGGCCATGGGGAAGATGCTCTGCTCATCTCGGCTCGCTCAGGCTCCTCTCCCACAAGACGAGGCACCGCTGCCTGCCCGGCTGCTGCTTCCCCTTGGCCTGCCCTCCCCCAGCCAGGAGGCTGCGTGTGCTCTGGAAAAATCCCCGCCGCTGTGTTTTCTCGTGCAAGCCAATCCGCTGAACCTGATTCATGGCACCAGGCAGCATTTGACACAAACCTGCAATTAATTACATGTTCCTGCTAAAAATAATTGAGTAGCCTACGTTCTGATTGCTGTAATTGCATCCTAATGAATTTATGTGTCAAGTTGTTGTGTGCAACTTTGCCGTGTTCCGTAAATACCAGATTAAGCTCGTGGTTTGGTCTCCAGGCGCTCCGCAGCCGACCTCCCAAGCCGAGAAGGGTGCGGAGCTGCCGCTGGCTCCCCGGCAGCGCCAGCCCCGCGCCGGGCACGGCCGCCTCGCCGCGCACACCCAGCGCAGCGGGGAGAGACAACGGCGCGACAGAGCGTCTGCTGGGACGGCTCCGGCCCCTCGCTGCGGGCTCACCCGGGGCGCAGGTGCCCGGCGGGGAGGAGGGCCCGGTGCCGCACCTCGCCGGGGACGGGCAGCCGGCGGGACACGGGCTCCGGTGCCAGCCCCGAGCTGGGCGCGCTCTGCCGCCTGCCAGCGCTGCCCGTGCTCCGCCGGCACGCCGACGGGCTTCCCGGGACAGCCACAGAGCAAGCTACAGCACCAGAACCTAACCCAGAGAACAGAAATGCGTGATCCTCTTGACTTCAGTGAGAGCTACGAGCAAATAGTGCTGCACATTGTTAATTGTTATGGTTGAACAAGACCACCACCCCTACCTGTGCTTGTTGAAGGAAAAAGAAGATTCGGCAGAAGTTACTGAAATGATGCCATGCTCCCGTAATGGCTCTCTACAGAACTTTACTTCTAGTCATTGTTTTTCATGTTTGCTACCAAAATACCAACTACAGCTCCCCTACAAAGCTGTGCATGTTAGTTAACCTCATTAAATCCTAAAGGATTAGTCAGCTGCTCCTCAACCACAAAACTGTTAGGAAACATCTAAAGCTCAAAGTTATGTGGCTTGGAAAGTGATTTTCTAATATGCAAACTTCAAAGGAATTTTGAAATCCTGCAGCGTAAGGGAGACAGACTAATGTTAATCCACTGCAGTGCTGCTTAACGGCCTGTTTAATTTTTGTCTTTATAGGTCTTTAGAAGCAGCTGAGCACGAAGGCTGCCTTGCGGTAAGCAGGGGTTCAGCTTCACCTCCAATTGCCGCGTCCCGCTCGTGCCGTCCCGCTCATCGCTCCCCGATCTCCTCCTCCCCGGGGTGACAGCACCTGCAGGTACCCGGGGCCGCGCTGCCGCGGCCTCTCCCCGCCCCGCGGCTTGCGGGCAGGCACGGACACACAGACCCACCCGGGGAGGGGAGGGGAGGGGAGGGTCCCCGTCCCCCCCGGGGCCACGGCTGGGTGACGGGGAGCACGGGGAGCCTGTGCCCGGCCAGGGCCGGTGCCTGTCGCGGCTGCGAGGCGCTGGCGCGTGTCCTGCTCGGCAAGGTCTGTGAGCCGCCAGTGCCAGGGGTGCCCGGGGCTGCGGGGGGCTGTGCCGGGACAGGCAGGCTGTGTCCCCTCGAGCGAGGGCACTGGGGAGCCCTGCCCTGGCCACGGGAGGGGGCTCACCCCCAGGGCCCGGTGCTGCCTTCTGGCTTCGCACCTTGAGCTGCAGCCGGATGCACCGGGGGAGCCGCCTGCACCTCCCGAGCCCACGCCCACACCCACCCTCCACACCCCCACACCCACCCCCACACCCCCACACCCACTCCCACCCCCCCACACCCACCCCCACACCCCCCACGCCCATCCCCATCCCCTGCGCCGCGGCCGCTCCCCCCGCTGCCTGTGCACCGCAGGGCATCGGGCACCCGTCACCGCGCAGGCTTGGCGGGGACCGCCCTAACTCAAATAAATAATGCCATTAACTGTGAAGTAATGAAGGAATTAAACACACTGCGTTTTGAGAGCACAAAGCACCAAAACCCACAAATTAATTAAGCTTCACAGCCCCCCTGTGAGATGCAAAGGTAATTGCTATGTTCATGGTGCATGTGGGAAAACAGAGAAAGGGATTTGTTGTGGCGGTAGAGGCTCTGCAGTGTCACAGCAGAAGCACGAGTGGCACTTCGGCCCCAGGAACCCCCTCCTGCCTCACCTACATCTCCTGGGGCTGACAGGGAGCTGGTGGAGCAGGGCTTGCGTGCTCCCGTGCCGAGCTGGGACAGGGCTCCCTGGGCCTGGCCCCGTCCCGCCGAGCCCCGCTCTGCCCCCGCGGCCTCGGCCACGCTCTGCCGGGGCGCTCGGGCGCAGCACGGCGAACCCCGGGTTCCCCGCTCGTGAGCGCTGGAGGATGTCAGTGGAATGGGGACAGCCGGCGGTGCAGTCAGCCAGCCAGACCGAACAGTGTACTTGCCGGTGTGTTATCAGCTGAGAAACCTGTTGGTAATAAAAATACACGAGAAGAAGCAAGAGGACATGAGTATTTCATTGGATGGGGGCACCCTCTAGGATACCCACCTCTCTGGCACTCTGGCTGGCCCAGTGCGGCGGGGGGCAGCGCTCCCCGGGTGCCGGACCTGCCCAAACGCTGCCCAACAGCCCAGGGCCCGGCGGCCCCGCGGCGGGGTCCTGGGGGTCCCCGGCGGCACCGCCCCGGCACGGCTCTGCAGCCCTGCTCCTCGCCACTGCGCTCCTGCTCTCTGCGCGGTCCCCAGCGAGGCCCTGAGCCGCTTCTG